AAGACACAGAGAGGCTACCCAGCTAGCAGGGAACGCTCCCACAACATTGGCTAACATTCACTAAAACGGCTAACTTCAAAGAACATTTTAAGGATGTTTAAAACTTCAAATAATGTTCCTGTAAGGTTAGATGTTAACAAAGACAGAACATTTTATCTGCAACTTTCAGAGGATGTTTTGAGGACGTTGTCAGAGCCACATGATAACATGTTCTCACTGGTTGAGGACCTGAGATGACAGAATGTTTTCATATAACGTTCCTGCAATGTAATACATTAACAAAGGCAGAACATTTTATCTTTAACATTATTGGAATTACTACTATTGTATAAAACATTTCCACAACGCTACATGACAACAAACACATAACATTCTTTCCGTAACATTTGGAAATGTTTTAAGGATGTAAGGGCATAATGTTCTAACAACGTAATCACTAACAATCTTTAAGACTGTTTTTTGACAACATTATCCTACTTTTCAAGAGGAACATTGTGGGAACAAAAAGAAACATTTTCAGTGGAAACGCTTTAGGAACGTTACAGCGTAATGCTATCAAAAAATGTTTTAACAATGCTACCACAAAAGATATTTAGAATGTTTCTAAGGAACATCATCCTGCTCTATAAAAATACAACTAGTGGAACGAAAAAATGTTTTAACAATGTTAGAGCATATTGTTCTGATAATGTTATCACCAAACACTATTAGAATATTTTTCCTGAATGTGATGCTAGCTTTAAGAGCATTATCCTGGTAACTAAAACAAAAAAACCTAAAACTTCCTTGAAAACATTACTAGAACACTGTACCGTAATATTCTAAGAATGCTTTAAGAACGCAAAATTTCTAGTTGTGGTTTAGCCAGAAGGGGATAAGAAAAAACTCAATAAAGGCAGGACATCGGGGAGATGGAGGTGGGAGAAGTTGGCAAGAAGAGAAAACATGATAGTGTAGATGATTAAAATGAGGGAGGGAATGCAGACGCTGGAGAAACAAAAGAAAAGGATGATGAATTTGGCAGGTGGAGAGGAAGGAGGAACAGTGAAGCGGTGGGAGGAAGAGAGGGAGGAATAGGGGGAGGCTGGGAAGGAGATGAAAAAATATGCAGGCAGAAAAGGAGAGACTTGAGGGGAAGACGGAGAGAGTGAGGAGAAAACAAAGGGCAGGTCCACTTGTGACTGTCTGCTAATACTTTCCTGACTTGCATATGGAAGCAGAAAGAGACTCGAAGCTCGAGGAGAAAAGGCAAAAACAAAACAACAAAAAGGCTTTGAGTATGCCTGAGACGTAAAAGGATGGTGGCTAGAAAGAGAGCTGCTGTTTGGGCAGTAATAAAGGTCAGAAACGCAGGGGGAGCACACTGCTGTCTGGCAGCAGGACGCACTGCAACCCATCAGACAGACAGAAGAAGACGAAGAGGTGGGGGAGTGAGCAGAGCCCGAGACAGACAGAGGGGGGAATTACAGTGTGACAGAGCTGATAGAAACAGCTGATTTTCCACACTAAAACTAAAACACAGCGAATTATCTGAACAAAGGAGGCTTATGGCCCGATAATTACCCAATACGCTATTTTGAGAGCCTGATATTAGGCCACGCTCCTCACAGCAACATGGTGTTTTGGGATGCATCAAGCACAACCTACTTTAATTATCGCTTGCTACAGAGCAGAATAAATTAACTTACGGCTTTTTGAGTGAGTTTAAAATGGAAGTTACAACTTAACTGCCCGAGTGCACCTGCTCACCTCCACCAATTCACCAATATTAATTTCTTCTTCATTTATATGCTGTTAAATTACAATCTTTGCATAGCCAATGGCCTGAAATCTGTGCTAAACGCATAATTCTAGTGGAGACATAATAAAAAAAAAGATATATCACTCCTATTTTTTTTCTGAGTGGATGAATATGGACTCATAAAGGATATCAGAATCATCCTAACTGAGAACATGTCCTTGTTCGTCCTCAGCGGCAGCACAGCACTGGACAGACACAATTATCTGCTGGAAAATTGCTATTTTGTTCGTGCTTAAAGGGGGAAAAAAAATGAACTCTAATAATTAGGAGCTGCTCGTGTTTGGAGAATTAATGAGACTATCTTTGAGTGTTTAAGTGCAGTTGCAAATATTGAAGGCAAACAAAAAATGCTAGACTATTAAAATCAAAACTTTTTATGATAACATCACAAGGTTGTGGACAATTTGTGGAAGACACACACCGGCTGTTGTATTGCTTTGCCTCAAGGGAAAAGTACATTAAACTGCGGTACTACATCTTATTTCTGAAATTTGATCCTTTATATCTCTTGCTCTAATCATTATTCTTTATTGCCTTTGCAGCAGGATGTCACTGCACAAAGCATTGTGACAAATAAAACATTAGAATTTTCCCTGAAATGATTCAGTGGCCAAACTCAGAGTGGTGACATCATGTGTGCAGTTATTAGAAACTGTCTGTCAATGCCACCATGTCACATCATCACCGCCACATGATTCACTCAAAACACGTCCATTATAATCCTTAAAAGCTGTCAGAAAAAACTTGAACTATACTTAAAGCAACACTACATTGTTTTCTGTGCTGTACATGTAGAAGTGACATAGATTGTGAAGCGGTTTAAAGTTTAAATTAAGTGTCTGCATGAGGATATAACTGAATAGAAGACAAATATCCGTGAATGTGTTAGCCTATTGAAAGCTGAAAGTACAAAATCAACAAGTAAATGAGCTCAACTTTATGATACTTTAGTGACATTTCTAGGAAACAGAATGGAGCCTGTCTCGAATAACAATAATAAGGACACACAGAAGGCTATTAGGTACTCTGTTAAACAGTTGGAAAGCTTTATATATCTACTAAAAAGCTCCAATCTGAGGGTGAAGAAGACATCTGACACCATCTTTGATCTTTAGCAGTACTTGAGGAACACCCTATAAGGCAAGTGTAAATCTTACTGTTTCTCAGTACCACGCACAGATGTTTTCTGCTTTCTAAGAAAGCTTATACAGCGGTGACTTCAGTGTCCTTAATGCTGCGATGTTTCTGAACGTTTAAGTGACCTATATTGTAGGATTAATCTATGCTGAGCCTAAGTCCTTGCTAGTATAGTTCATTTAAGGATTTTGCCAGTATCTTTCCTTTTGTGAAAATAATACCTTGCCTTTAGTTTGCATGTCCTCAGTGCAAAAGTAAATTTTCAATGGTAGATAGAAATGAGCACATTTAGCTTGTCATGGGCTAACTTAAAAGTTTAGCGTAGTAGCCCATCTAAAGTTTGCCAAGAGTGACCAAAATCATGAATGTGTCATAGAATGTATTATAGCCATGCCAAATGTGTTGATTTACACAAAAGACTTGATTGACTGGGAAAGATTACCAATGCAGGCTGGCCACTCTGAAAGTGTGGCAACTCTTAAAAAATGGAAGAGATTCAAAAAAAAAAAAAAAACCCTCTCTCGTCACTGAAATGGCTCTAAACCAATCAATGCCTGAACTTCACAAGTGTTCTGAAGGTGTCCTGCGGTATCTCACACAAAGACGTTATCAGCATCTGCAGCCAAGTGAACACCTTGACCTCTTGGTCATGTTCCTCAAACCATTCCTGTACGCTGTTTGCAGTGTGGCAGGAAGCTGAAAGAAACCACTGCTATCAGGAAATAACGCAGACATGAAGGGATATATGTGGTTTGAAACAACGCTGAGGTAGTTAGTACATCTCAAAGTAGCATCTACATGAATGCTAGGACCCAAGGCTTTTTAGCAAAAATCCACTGTGTGTCCAGCTGCCATCTCTTTCCCAGATACATGAAGCACTTGGCCGTCTACACGATGTAAATGAAAGCATACTCATCAGACTTGGTTACCTACTTCCATTGCTCCATGTTGTGATGCTCACATGTTCATTGAAGGTCTTTAGGTCCGCTGCCTACAACCTCATACACAATCATAGCCAGCATGACAGTTTGCAGCAATTTGTGCTACAGTGGCGCTTCCCTGAGCGCTCATGACCCTATTTCCAGTTTCCCAGATGTCTTTTTTTTTTTTTTTGGACCACTTTTGGTCAGTACCAACCGCCATACGCTGGGTACAACTGCTGTTTTGGAGATGCTCTGACTGAATAGTCCACCCATCACAATTTGGTCCTTGTCAAAGTTGTTTAGATTGTAACACAGCCCATTTCTCCTGCTTTTAACACATCAAGAACTGGCTGTTCACCTCCTGACATCCTTTGACAGATGCTATTGCAACGAGATAATCAATGATATTCACTTCACCTGTCAGTAGTTTTAATGCTGTGGCTAATTAGAGCTTTTCTATTTTTTTAAAGTGGTAAAAATCCATTGAATTTCAATGTTATTTCATCAGAAGTCCTGTCACTGCAGCCAGCCTGTAACTTGATTCCATTTGGCTTCATTTCAATCTGAAACAATAGTCTGCATATTTGCACTAGAACCGGTACAAACGTCTATTGTATATTTTCCTGTAACACATTTTATTTTTCCCCGTGACCCTAGTGAGGATTAAGCGGTGTATAGATAATGGATGGATGGATGGACATGTTATTTTTTTTATTTTTTATTTTAAACATTCATAGAACATTGTACAACCTCAGCATAACCAAAGGACACGTGTCACCAGCAATGAAAAGCTTAAAAACACACCACAGATTAACATTTCCTTCATCATACTTCAGCAAAAGTAAATGATGCCATTTAGGGGACAAAAACAAACTTGTCATTGGGTTTTTCAAGCTTTTACCACGTTTAGTCGTCATGCAGCTGGATTAATAAAGAATTCTCAGTGGTACTGTTCAGTTTTAGTAAAGCAGCCTACCTTTTGACAACCACGGTGTAGCGTCAGGTGGAGAAAGTCTAGTTTCAGGTGTTTGTTACGCTGCCGCCATCTTGTGGGCGTTGAAGTTACTTCCGCTTCCGCGCTTTCGTCCAGTTTGGACTTGGCGAGTCGCCGTAGAGAGAAGCAAGCGTCGCCCTAGCAACGGGCAGGGTTTAGCTTAGTTAGCAGCAGGGTCCTTCTGGGGCGGACTCAGTTACTGGTGAAGTAAAAACGCCTTAAATCCCCGGTTTACTGACCGAAGCCGTGATGGCTACGAGCAACTCGTCCGTGTTTCTGCTCACGGTGAACGGACAGATAGAGGGAGCGAACGTGAGTGTTGCTTCTGTGTTTTAGCCTAGCCTAGCAGCTACTGTTTTAGCTAGCATTAGCAACTTAGCGTCTTATGTCTCAGTTTGTGTTTCAACACTTTCATGTATAAAGGTGGTAATTTTTGTTCTATTACAGTTTCCAGAGTATGACAATTTGTACTGCAAATACTGTTTCGTCTACGGCCACGACTGGGCTCCGACAACGGTGAGTAACTGGCTGCCAAACAAGAAAAAAACATGTATACAATCAGTGTCCGATTCATCCATAAATGTGCGTATTCAGCTATAGTAATCCTTATTAATGGCCAAGCCTAGGTATGAATAATCCCTGCTCTCACATGCTGTTAATATATGACATTTAATGTACGTATCCAGCTGTAGTAATCCTTATTATTGAAGAAGCCTAGTTATGAATCACTGGTTCCCACTATCACATGCTCTAGTATTAATTGTATATTCGTTCCAAATATCGATAATCAGTCTCTTTGATTACTAACATTTTGTGTCATCCTGAAAAAAATGCATATTGGTCGATCTCTACTATCTTAATATACATTTGTAGACATTTCTTTAAAGGCGCAATGACAGTATAGCAGTAAAAATATGACGTTATTGTTCTGTTTTTATGGGAAATTCAGCGTGCAGTAAAGAAATACTCATAATTATTCCCAAAAATCTCATAGTATTTCAGCAATATAGTACATGTTCACTTGCATGCTACCTTTTCAAAGAATGTAAAGTTAAAATCATGTCTGTTTATCACATTATTTGAAAGCCTGTGTGTCTGTTTCCCTCTAGGGGCTGGAGGAAGGCATCACACAAATAACCTGTAAAAACAGCCAATCTTCACAAAAGTTAATATGGAATTTCCCACTGGAAACAACATTTAAGAGCACAAATCCTTCTGGATGTAAGTATTACCCACATACACAAACTACTCATAGCCAACCGGTTGCTGATCGTTAAATGTCAGACTCCAGGACAAAATATTAGTCCTTTAGAGATCATAGGTAAAACTTTAGATGTTGGTAAAGATCAGTTATTGATGATACCTGTTTATGTTCCAGGGCCTCAGCTAGTGGTGACTGTGTACGGACCAGATGTGTTTGGCAACGATGTGGTCAGAGGCTACGGAGCAACACACGTCCCCTTCACACCTGGACAGTTAGTATTACTTCCATCACCTTCCTCCTGCTTTTTTTTTTCTTTCCTTTTCTCATCCCTCTTCTCATTTTTCAGTCTGTACGTCCTCGATTCCTTAAGTCATTTCCTCTTCAAGTATTAGTCCCTCCTACATCACACGCAAACAGAGGAGGTGAGGAAGAAACATGAGGAGAGAGGAGTCGAGGCAATAGACAGATATTAAAATAAGACATCCTTGTTTCAAAGCGGTGATTTTAAAGCAATGTTAATTCAGATGTACGTATGGTACAGCTGCATTATCCGTCCATTGTTTTGTTATAGCCTGCTGTTGTGTGCATACGCTGTTCATGAGGGTGAAGGACAGATTGCACATGTAGTCTTCTGAAATAACTAATACAATTTATGAACAGCCGACATAAGGAAGTCTTACCTTTGTAGAGTCTTGCTTCTGCCATGATTTGTACTATCCAGCTGTGTCACACCTGAGGACAAACCTGTGTAAATTGCTCATAGCTCCTCTGGCGAGCCTCTTCTCTCCTGATGGATTTTAGGGATTAAGGCATTCTTTGGGTTGGCGAACTCAGATTGGTTTCTGGGTGACAGGCAGAAGGACTGAAGAAATGAGAAGGCACAAAATAGATAACTGAGAAAAGGAATGAGTTGTAGAATGATTAGTGTTCGCATCTAAGGTGTCTAAATACTTAAAGCATGTAGCCTTTTCTCATTACATTCAATAGACCTATAGTGTGGATTTTTCATAGAACCCATATTAAAAAAAAAAAATTAAAATCTGCAATTGTTTTTTTCCCCCCATTTCTCAGACATACAAGAACCATCCCTATGTTTGTTCCTGAGCCGACGTGGAGACTTCAGAAGTTCACAGGGTGAGATGTGTGAATATTTTGCGCAGTTCACTCTTGCAGCAGCTCTGATGTCATGGCTGATGAGTTGTGCCTGCTCAGGGAAGCAGCTGATCTCAGAGCATTATCAAATATTTACTGTTCCTCTGTCTGTGACTCCAACTGATACAGTCTTTGGCCTAGATGCTGCAGTTGTCGGTGCATGGAAACCCACACACAAAGATATTCGGTCAATTTCATCCCTAGGAAAATGACATATTTTATTGATTTTGGACTTGAACAAGTATGTACAACCCTTGGCCCCAACTGACAATAACAGAGCTTGATAAATTCTGACTTTTCAAACTTTACAGTAACACTCAGTAGCAGTGGGTCCATTTAAGCAACTGACTGTAGCTAAATGATGCCCATAAAGTAAGTGAAGGCTATAGACTGCTATCAAAGCACTTATCAAATCGGAAAGTGTATGATGGCTAGCTTCTGTAAGAGGACAACCACCCAAGGCAGACCTCAAAATCCACCACAGAGATTTTTGAAGAAACACAAAGAAGAAGCGGTTGAAGTGGCCCTCACAGCCTCTTGACGTAAAGATCATTGAAACTCTGTCGGTACATTCCAGGGAGGCCTAAAAATACCTCAGAACTTCAAGTGAACAGAGTGGGGGAAAATTTCCCAAACCGTTTCACATGTCAAGTTCAAGGAAGAAAAGCAACAGTCCATCAACATTTGAACTTCTTGAAACTTAAAAAAAAAAAACTCAGCAAAATATCCAATCTGCCCAGGGAGCCCAGACGTTAGCCTGTACTGTATCTAAAGGAGGTGCTCTCTCTTTCTCGTGCACTCTACTAGGTTTTACTTTTCTTTCTCTAAACACTCCAATGCCCCTGTAACTGTAGGAAACAATAAAGCATCATTTTCCTGTGTGGGAGGCTGTAGAAAACCTCATCTTCAAATTGTTTTAAATCAGCAGAGTAGGATGATACTGACAAAATAATGTGCATCTTGACCTAAAAGGATATTATTAACCTTGTGTGTGGTAACCATAGAGTGTAAACTGTATACAGGGGATGGGACAGTTTACTTGGAGCTTCAGTGCCTTTCTTTAACTTTGTACTTTTTAAACATGTTTTTCCTCTTTTGTTTAGCTGGTTGTTGGGACGACGGCCCGAGTACACAGACCCTAAAGTAGTGGCCCAGGGTGAAGGCAGAGAAGGTCTGTGAAGCATATGTTAGATGCACAGCAGCTCTCACCAACATAATACACGAACGCATTGCATGTTGAAGTGGAAATTGCTTCTGCAGTCATTTCTAAAATAACATTAATTCCAGTCTGTTACAGTTCAGTGTGTTATTTTTGTGTTTCAGTGACTCGGGTTCGCTCCCAAGGCTTCGTCACAGTCTCCTTTCACATCATGACGAAGGACATGAAGAAAATGGGATACGACACGGGACCGACGGGCCCCGCAAACATGCCGTCTGTCACATCTGGCTGGTCGACAGAGGAGCAACAAAACATGTAATAACATGAGAGACTGTTGGAAATCTGGGACAATTAACCCGTCCCTCCTTTTGTTTTGTTTTTTTTTCTAAGCCCTCGAGGACATTCTTTGTCTGCCAAAGTACATACACAACACTAACATCAACTAATTTAATTGTTTACCTCTTTTGTTAGTATGGAAAGCCACAATGCAGCCTCTAGAAATGAAGTCATTTGAATGGTAGTTACAGACATTTTCCATTGTCTTTTCTATTGCGTTACTATTTTTGTAAAACTTTTTGAAATAAATGTAAATTTCACCCAAAGTCTTGCATGAAAATTCAAGGACACAGACACCCGAGTTACAGAGCTGAAGTGATACACATTTTTATTTTGAACCGATGCAGCTACAGTTGTCCTCATCCAACAGGGTGCGGCCTGCTGCGTTCGTTTGTTTAGATGCCGTTAAAATACCACAATGACTTTTCCTACAAAAACCCATTACACAGAATAATAAGGTATACAGAAGAACAGTATGTTACAATAGTACAAATGATAAATTATATTATACAGTTATAATGCCAACGGGTTGAGCACGTATCCAATAAAAAAAACAAAAAAACAAAGCAGCCTGCTCCCAGTACTATGAGAAGGGTAACTAGACAGACATGAAAAAGAATAAAGGAGGCTGTTTATGCATATAAAGACAGACAGCCCGTAAGGTCAGTTAGTCCTCTTGATAAAAGCATAGTGAATACATAAAGTAACACGGAGGAGCTCGCTACACACAGGCCACATTTTCACTGCACCATAGCCACGACTGTGAAACTGCTGCCAGGGATCAAGAAAAAGTGTTCAACTGCAGTGTCGTCTGACTGTTTGGGAGTGCTCAAATTGTTCAAAAACAGTAAAGGCTTGTTTTTTTTTTGTTTGTTTGTTTAAATGCACCAATAACAAACTTTTCCACAATCGCTGGAGTAACGTTTAAGGTCAGGCCGCAGTGAAACACAGGCCAAGTGCGAAAGTGACACGTCTCAGCTAGAACATCATCGTAGCTTCCCATAAACGAGACTTTATTAGCAAATCTGACTTTGCGAAACACGTCGAGCATTAAGTCTTCTTATCTTTTTTTTCCACTTTTCCAACTCCAATTTTTGCATATATTTAGTTGAGATTAAAAATGTTTGCTGGTCTGCAAGTGTAACATCCATTCATTCAAGACCCCCAAGCATTAAAAAAAAAAAAAAAATCATCACCACCACCCTCAGCATTATCATCAAATTCATACATACAGTTGGAGATGCCCCTCCGTTTGCCTGAGAGAAATGAAGGTCTGCGTTAAGTGGAAATGTCCACGGTCCTGCGGTGTAGCTATCATACCACAGCAGACCATGAGGGGGCGCCAACCCACACCAAAAGAGGGGAAAAGCCTTCCACAGTAAGAACACAGGCAGCTGTACTGACAGAGCTGAGGACACTACAGTGACTTCAAGAGAAGGAGGGTCTATATGCAACTCATCTTTAGCTGGCATTCATCAACCCACTTTTCTCAACCAATAGAAGAGAGAGATGCTCATCTTGCTGTCAGTAAATGGTAACACTTTCTTACACAAACTCTGGACAAAATGTAAAATAGCTCTGAAATATAAAACAATTTAACATGGAGTCTATGATACCATCCATAAACCAAAAACAAAAAAAAGAAAGAAAAATGTCAATGAAGTGTGACCCTACTGCTCAAAGTACGGCATCCTCAGAAATCACAGTCGCTATGACTTTGGTAACAGTTGTGCTTCTAAGAGAAGAGAATTACATAGCCTACCCATAGGGTGAAAAAACTAGAATGACAGAAAATAGACAAAAGAGTGAATAAAGATGACACATGGCTTTAGCTAGTACACGGCTCCAAAACTCAGAAAAAGGCTTGGCTATGGATTTACATCTAAACGAGTAAATAACAACAAAAAGTAACCAACAAAATTAACAACTGCGGGATTCCCTGTGCTATCAATAGTCTGATCTTGGAACAGCCCCGTTCGAGAGTGTGTGTGAGTGAGTGAGTGTGTGTGTTCACGCGGTAATGTTCTTGTAAATAGATTAGCCAGAGCAAATCCAGTCGGAGGTAAAACTCTTCACAACGCTGAGTGGCGGACATGCCCTTTAAACCTGGAGCTTTCTTCGCAACCTTGTCACCATAGTAACATTCCTTGATAAATGGTTGCATATTCATACACACACACACACACACACAGACACACACTTAAGGCTGCTGATGCCTAAATTACCCCTTGTTTTTGAGTTGCAGTTCAGAAACTAACTTGAGCAAATTCTAAGTCGGTTTCCTCTTAACTCTGAGTGAGAAATGGAAAAAAAATGTTCATTAAAGTACACTTGGAAGCTAAACGTATCTCCCACGCAAACTCACACACACTCACTCACTCACACACACACACATCCCTCCCTCATCCCTTTGACCCTAGTAACAAATTTTAAAAGAAAAACTGTCCCAAGATGCCTCGCTGCATCCATATGTTCAGATAGCAAAATACTGATGCCATCACAGTTCGTGTCTTTTCTCTAAACACACGCTGGGCAAAACTCAGTGGCAAATACATCGACATGTAGCTGTTAGTATCCGAGCAGTAACAGTACACCTACATATGCGCACACACACATACAAACAAAAAAAACAAAACAAACAACTGCCGCGTTTACTCATCTTTTCAACTCCTAGGGGTTAAAAAGAGGGGTTTACCTCCTCTGAGAAGCGTTCATTGTTAAATCCTGTGACCCGCTGAGGTCAAAGTTCACGTGGAGGGTCAGAGAAAAAAGGTCCAAGGTTGAGGGGGAAGAAGTGACCAGACAAGAGTTGTGACTGAGTGGTACCAAGAACCGAGGCAGTGTGTGTGTCGTCTCGGTCGTTTTAAGCGGCTGGACTTCCTCCCTAAGCTAAGGTGTTACGGTGAGCCCAACAGTCGCAGAAAGAAAACCGGAAAAAAAAAAAAAAAAAGCAAAAAATTGTGCAAAATTCCTGCTTTGTAACACAAACATACAAACACACACAGAGTATAAACACATCTAACCATCTCTCATCCTTACTCCAGTGTGTGTAAGTAAAACTCACTGGAATATACACAGTGTAAAAGTACTGAGATGTGCACTCACTCACACACACACACACACACACACACACACCAGCTGACAGGGCTTATAAAAGATTAGCTCTAGTGAAGAGATAAGATCCTGGCATTAGTACAGTCAAACTCTCCTGTCACTCCACCACAGAAGAGGAAAAGAGCAGTCCTAAGGGAAGAAGTGAGGGAGAGGAGGCGAGTGAATGAGACGAGGACAGGGAGGAGAGACTGGGTCCGGTCCGGCCTCGGTGAGGAAACTGTAAACACCACTGCTACTCTTTAAAGTTTGTAGACAGAAGCAAAGTCTTTGTGGTCATCAACGTCGTCGTCACATCAGTATGGAACACACAGGACTAGGCAGCTTTTAGCGTAGAAAGAAAGAGGAAGAAAGAGAGGAGGAAGGGAGTGTGGTAAGGTTGGAGGAGGCCAGGCGAGGAGACCTGGAGAGGAGTCGGTTATAAATGGATAAATGGGATAAGACGTCTCCTTGTTCGTTTTGAAGCTTCTTAAGGAGCTGAAGTTGAAGACAGAGGAAGGGTTACTCTGGGCCAAGTTATCCCCCCCAGACAGCCTCTCACAAAAGGAAGGGATTGGTGGTTCCGGCGGGCTGCGACCCGGCTTGGGGGGGCATGCTCATCAGCGGCTGGGGCATGGACATGGAGGCCGGGATCCCCGCGCTCATCCCTGTGCTCGTCCCCACCCCTCCCATGGCGCCGACCCCCATGCCGGGTACGACGCGGCCCATGGGGGCCATCCCTGCCAGGGGGACCATGGTGATGGGCTGAGCGGGCATGCTGGAGATAGACATGGGCTCGGCCATGGCAGCAAAGCCAGAGGGCATCGGGCTGACGCGCATCTGGTTGAGGGTGGGAGGAGCTGGCTGGCTCACTTGGAAGGGGTTGGCATGGGGTGCTGGAGCTGGAGCAGAGCCACCTGAATGAAGATGAGTAATCGACGAAGGAGAGAATCATATTACTGTGCATACAGAGCATCAGTACAGTTTTGGGTACATGTTTTGCTGGGCTATGTGAACATATACAGTCGTCCTCAAATGTATTCATCCCCTTCCATTAAAGAAAAGGCAAATTTCACAATAGTCACTCAAATAACTAGAAACTGAAAAAAGTAATAACAAATAAAAATTTGTTAAATTGTAATTTAGTGAAACAAGACGTTGCTTTAGAAATGTGGCTGAAAAGAATAATTAAAAAAAAAAAAAAAACTGTCCCAGACAAATTAGAGCTCTTTGCTGATGAGCAGTGGACCAGAATACCTGTCAACAGGGGCAGAAGTCTGACTGAGAGTTACAGAAAACACCTGATTGCAGTGATTGGCTCAAAGGGTTGTTCAACAAAATGTTAGTTTATGGGTCCCATTATGCTTGTTTGCGTGTTTTTTTATATATATATATTTCTGTTGAACCACAATTCAAAAGCAATGTCATGATGTTCATTAAATTTTTATTTATCATTACTTTAGTCAATTTCAACTGATTTCAGTGACAGCCGTTTTTGTCCTTGTTTAATGGGAGGGTATGAAAACATTTGAGGACAACTGTATACACTTTATAGAGTAACTAGAGCAGACTGAAAAGCTTTAGTTGACTAAACTAGATGCAACTTGGGTTGGGCATATAACAAGAAAACGTGCTTCTGTCATCTTATAGAGAGAATTCAGTGTGATTCATGTGTCTGCCCACTGAGTTTACACTATTAAAGGCAGGGCAGGGCCAGTGATTCAGCATTCAACTGCGCAGCCGTCTGTGACTGCCTGTTTGCTCAGGCCTGCATGTGTATGTCCATGTTCCTCCTGGCTTAGTGACTACGCTCTTTCACTAGCACATTCTTATCTAATCAGTACGGATTAAGCATCATGTTCACCTTCCCAAAAAAAAAAAAAACCCTGTCCGTGACATTCAATGAAAGAGCCATTTTCCTCACCTGTCGCATTTAATAAAATAACTACAGATGACAGTAAAAATGCTGTAAAGCATTAAAAAGAAAAAAAGAGAGAGAGAGAGAGACTTAGCATCATATTATCTTTTTGTTTTCCCACCTGTTGAAGCCAAGAATGGGTTGACGACCGGTGCAGGCTGCGCTGGTTTGGTCACCAGAGAGTCCAGGTTGACCAGGGCGGCATTAGGGCCCAGGAAGGACTCTGGAGTCTTTCTGGTTGGGTTTGTGGTGAGAGAAGTAGATAACGGGTTGGGCAGGGGGTCGAAGAGGTCCAGGCTGCCGCTGCTAGCCAGACTGACCTGGGAGGGGAGAGAGGATGCTATGCCCCCATCACCTGAAGAATGAGAGCAGAGCAGTAGTTGTATTTTTACTGATGGCAGGCTTTCCTTTTGAGTGGGAATAACATGATTAAAAACATGAAATCTCTTCTGATCTGAACTTGCCGTGCAGGGACCACGACAACTCTGTTATAATGTAGACATAGCTAATAATCTGGTGCATCTGTGATACTTACGAGTCATGTTTAAAATGCATTTTTAACTTATTCTTGCTGTCCACTTTTGATTCCTGAAAGTCACACTAAAAAAGTGTGCCCATCTGCACATGAGCAACCACATTGACATTTACTGTCAAATTAAAATAAACCGATGCAAAAATGAGAAGATGCTGCTATGAGAGGGCATCAGAGGCTGTTTGTTATGGCAGCAGTGGAGACATTCGTTAATGCACTCACACAGGGGACACACACAAACCCAGCATGCCAGTAAGCACACAAACAAGGAAATATCAAAAGATGACAACTGTCACAGAACAGGAACTAAGTTAGAGCAGAGCTAAAAAAAAAAAAATGCTCACGATAAGATCAGACGGGCCTAATGTGTATCAACACCCTTTAAATCTTGTTCAGTTCAGCCACAGTTGATTCAAACAGTAAACGCTATGCAAAACTGTGCCCGTGTTGTGTGTGTGATGAGCTATAGCAAAAGTCTGACACCAATGTCACCTTCCCACGCTCAGAAACTACAAAAAAAAAACTGCCAGACCTGTGCCAAACGATTCATGAGAACCCTGTCAGAAGACACTGACCACATTAGGATTGTTGAAGAGTTTCTGGTAACATAGCTGCGAGGGTTTCAATAAACTGGATGGCCCAGGTCTAAAATGTATTTAGTAATGCACACATAAAAGCAGCGTCAGATTACACCACAGTAGTATGAAACCAGATCTGAGCAAACAGCTGCTTTTCCACCATCAGATTTGATCACCGCAGAATTTGATTGCATTTGCAATTTAAAGTAATCTGTTTGAAAATATGACATCGGTGGTTCCAGCGCTGTTTTTGCTCACGTCTGGTGGTATTTACATACAAAGACAAGACGTGTGTGTCCGTGCCCTGCAGAAACACGCGCGTCTGCAGCGGGCATCTTTTCAGACACTGAGGGGGAAAAAAACAACACAGACTCCGTGTCATTAGAGAGACAAAGACAGGGTGAGTACCAGTGGGGACAGAGGAGGAAGAACGCAGGCTGTCAAACTCTGAGAAGTCTTCTTTGGACGTACCGTTGGATGCACTGAACAGGTCAAAGTTACCTGAAAGGAGACAATGCAGACAAACACAGGGTGCACACACATTCACAGAGGGCACACGAAACCACAGTACCAGACAGCAGACACACACACAAAGACAGATGGAAACACACAACACAAGTATGAATGAGTATGGATAATTTGGTAAAGTAACAGATACAAATGAACACAATAAGCAACTGAAAGCATGCAGATGGGCTTAAAGATGCGGGACTGTGCAATGTTTGAGCATAAAATTTGAGTCTTCAAGTCATTCGTCTTAAAACAGAGAAAATGTAGAAAGCTCCAATGTCCAATACTTCTCCAACTCAAATCCATTGCTTCTGGATTGTAAGATTATATGAAGCGGAGGTTGTAGCTGCTGAATGTAAAGAATTCTCTTGAAACTGAGCTAATCTGTTTTCCCTCGTGGTCACCTGTGTTGGAAGTCTTGGGGCGGGCAGCTGCAGAGCCCCAAGGGTCAGAGGCAGGAGTGGAGTTTGGTGCCCAGGGATCGGAGCTCTTCAGGGGTGGGACAGAAGGAGGGGCACCCCAGGGGTCCACTGGGGCTGCTGCTTTAGGGGCAGACCCTGGGGAGAGAGGGAGAGGTTTAGTGTTGCGTGGGTAATGAGAGAAGGGTAAGGAAAAACGATGCAAGTTTAAATGTAATGTGTTGATCCCTATTAGGCTCATTTATGAGACAGCTGTCACTCTCCTGCCGTGAAGTTTGCAGCATGTGTGTCATTCATAAACCTAAGACCAAGCAATGCTGAATTATATCAAATTATTACTAGATAAGCTACGTTTCAGTTCAGTCTGGCTCCATACGCATGCTCCCACTCCCTTGATCGCCCCAACCTGAATAGGGTATTAGATCTCCAACTCCCCCAAGCCTCCCTCCCTGCATCGACAAGCCTGCACACTCCTTTCCTTCACAATATCATCCTCTAACACCCTCCCCCTTCCCCTACTCTCAGTGCAGTAATGCTGCTGGGCCAGTGGAGCAGCATTCCTATTTAACAAAGAGTCACAGTCCTACGAGCTGCAGGTGGAGAGCAGCGACGCCTTTCACACACACAGCAAACTGAGTCTGTACTGCTCAATGAAGACACTAAGTATGTGGATACCATATGATGTGTCTGTTCTTGTGAGAGTACATATGTGTGTCTACCATAAGGCTGCCATGGGTCTGCTGATGCAGCAGCAGCTCCAGCTCCAGCTCCAGCCATGGCTCCGGCTCCAGCTCCAGCTCCAGCCCCTGTGCCCCACGGGTCAGCAGTGGCACCAGGCTCTGGAACATCCATTAGATCCATCAAAGACGACTGTGGCTGCAAGAGACGGAGAACATGAGTTAGACAAACTTTGCAACAGGAGACCGGATAAAAGAAAAAGAAAGCTTTCAGACAAGTAAAGGAAATGTAAAAATGCAATGAGTAAAGAGTGGGAATAGATAAGAAGGAAAAATGTAGAGAGGACCATCTTCTGGCCATTATCCACTACAGCATGAATACTGTTCAAGCATAGTGATGACAGATGTCATTATATATTGAAAAAAACATGAGCCACAGTCATGCAAGCCTACTTCTTCAACACTTTAGCTCTGTCTGGCCTCAAATTCCAGCCAGCCAGCTATTCAGGCAGAATAATGACGAGTTAACTAGGCAGTCTGCAGCCAGTTAGTGGTTTCATTACTGCTACTGAGGGAGCAGACAGGGTCAGGCAGAGAAAGAGGACAGGGAGAGGCAAGACTATTTCAGGAGTGTGTTTATGATAATGGAATAACTGAGTCACCCCGGTCTCCACGTTTGTATGCATTTTACCTCTTTCTTCTTCTTGGGCAGTTTTGCTGAGCCAGGACCTTCTTTCTTGCTCTCCTCCAAGGCCATCTGTAGTCTCAGGTCATCCCCTCTGCGTATGCGCTCCTCCTAAACAAACAGCACAGTTAGTACTAGCAGCACATTTGCAACTTCTTTCAGTTCTTGTAGATTGTAGATTCATTTGTAGAAATGTAGATTGATTAAGTGTGCCGTTGTGGACAGCATGACATTTACAGAATTAGTGCCTAATCAGAGATACTTTTGTACCTAATTTTCTTCTCATATTTAGCCATAATCAAGACAATTAATCCTCGAAACCCATGTCTTTGCTTTTTGTTTTTAAATTGCACCATATGTCAGAGCAAGAAACTGTACAGACCGGAAGAATCATCAAATATGCAACTTTTCAATGGTTCCTGAACTGATCATGTGTTCAAAGAGAAAATTAACCACATTTAAGAGTAACATAATGATATTTTACCAACATTAGTTTATTCCACATCTCATTTATAACTTTTGACTTAAAGATAAACCATTGGCACCAACAACAGAAAAAGTTCTGCGCTTCTTGGTAAACTCGAGAAACCACAACTGACTCAGCGGTGACCGACGGGACTTTGGGGACTTTTCGGCTGAACCTGGCATGAACTGCAGGCTGTGTTTACGCAGAGCAGAGCGAAGACGAGAATGGAAACAATTTACAAATCTAAGTAGTAAAATATCTTCGGTATGTCGAGCCAGCATTTCTGTCAAGTACTGATAACACCTATGAGCGCAATGTGTTCGCACATGCCGACTCTTTTATGATTTATGAAAATTATAAGTTTTACATTTTTGAGGTCTTTCTACTTCTAGTCATGGTTGAAGTGCAGGACTTTAAGTTACTGTTAAAATTAGTGCAAAGTGACATAAAAATGTAGCAGAAGCAAAAAGCACCCAGAAACTGTTTGGCTCCCAGATGCAAAATTTCAATTTCTTTACTGAAAACACGCAGACAAAAACAAACAAAATGGCAAATATGGATTCTGCCATGCTGGCATGTGTGACTGGGATCATGTATATGTACCTGCTCTGCGGCTTCTCTGCTCATGGCGAGCGCAAGTTGCAGCTGTAGCTCCTCCTCTCCACTGGTCTGAGGTCTGGCCTGCTCCAGCTCTGAACCCGCGTTGGGAGACGTGGCTAACGGAAACAAAACCTACGTTAACATCATCACCACATGGGGGGCATCACGTACTTTACATAATACAGACAGTATAATGGCTATTCTGCGTTAATCCTCCAAAGCCAACTGCTGTTCCAATAAATTCAATCACACATTTTGGTAAACTGAGTCACATTTCATTGACGCTGTATAGAAATTTCAGTGTGTTTGTGTGTGCGATTATAGGCCTTCAGTGACCATGTGAGGGACGACAGTCCATTCAGCTTATTGGATTAGGTTGGGCCATGTGGAAGCACAAAAAACAGAGACACTGCACGTGGCAAGCAAACACACACGCATGCCATCTGGCCAGGAGAAAGGCATCACAACATGGATGGACGTCATCAAGGTAGCCTGTGGTGTCTTTTTTTAATTCAAAGTGCGACTGTGTGTGTTTAAGCGTGGAAACTAGAAGGTTGCTGTTTCCACAGGAATTACCATATCGCCCATCATCATTTTTGACTTTTGTCTCTATACAATGCGACACCTTCTGCTTCACCATTTTTGTATGAATGTTGTGGGAGTACAAAGGTATTTTTACAGTAAATCTTGTTATAGGTTTTCTATGTGATCATTGATTCATATTCAAATATGTCATCCATAATTACCAGAATACAATGAAAAAAACAAGCCATGTGCACAATATACTTTGCTCTAAACAACACAGACCAGTCATGACTTGCTCTGCTTCTGATCTGGACCCCCAAACATACTGTGATGCTCACACACTCACTCAATACTCATCATATCATGATAAAAATAATGTATATCGTTACATTACTCTGGTATATTCTGAATGTCAGCAGCTACAAAAACTTATGTAAAGACCTTAAAAAAAATATAGCTCAAATATGACGTGGGGAAAGACTGATGTCAGTTTCACTATCTGACACGACTAACTATGAAACCTCACGCTTTGACTGACATCCTTGTGTGAAGACATTTATGGCCACACACATATCACATCAGCAGGTTTTCTATAAACACACAGAGTAAATTTGCCACAAGAAATGTTTCCATCATGACAAGATGGAACAAAAACAGACAGTTCCAAGAACAAATAAAAGGCTTGAACCTTCTGTGAAACAACTGAAGAAAGATGCTGCCTACTTCATACCCCAATGACATAAGAACAGATTATTATTGTGTTCCATACGAAGCAACATTACAGTCTAATTTTTGCATGAAGCATAAAACAGCAAGATACAGAACTGTGCAAATAAGTAAGCCTTAAACTAAGTTCAGTAAATTCTGTCTCTTTGTATAATCCCAGACTAACGCCATGATGCTGAGATAAGGACTCTGTGGGGGCTGCCATCTGTTGCAGGACATCTTCTTCTTCTAGCTGAAGATAGTTACTGACGACTGTGGCAGTGTGTTGAGGGACATCGTCATGCTGAAGACTGAATTTGGCAACAATCAGATGGTACTATGTGATGGATAAAGTCTAAACATGTAAAAAGCCTAAACCTTTAGCACAGTAGTGTATAGCCCTAAAATAAATTCACTGTAGTGGTCTTGCAACTTCAGATCCGGGACCTTGTCTCTTTGTTCCGAGCCTCCACATTTCTCATTTCCTGCCTTACTTGGTCCTTGTCAAACCCACGTCCCCAGTGCTCTGTCTCCAGGCTATGTATGTCCAGGGAAAGTGACCAGGGGTAGAAGGTGTGTTTGTTTAGCTGATGGAACATGACTCAACATCAGCTCCGTGTCTGCTTTAAATAGACAGTGAACACAGCTGTACCAATGCTAACAAAGAGACCACATGACCCGAGAGTACGTATTGGATTGATATGGGCTTATCTGACAAAAGGAGTAAAACAAATACCCCATAAACTCTACTTTGATGTTCAGACAACATGCTGTCTTTTTTGTAGATTTCCCAATATCTGCGATGAAGAAACACAAAAGCATCCTTCAATCAAAAGCTCTCTATAAATTTCTCTCAAAAAAACAGTGCAAAACAAAAGATGGCTTAAAAAGCAGTTTTCAGCCACTGAGCTTTAAGACAGACTGAACTGGCACAAACACACAACCAGTGCAACACTTGGTAGTAGCGAGTCTGGAAGACAAATAAACAAAGCTCAAAGCCAACTAAAACACCAGTTTCTTGCCCACCACTGTGGGAATGGACCATATATGGGTAGTCGCAATTTCTTGGCTCTCTGTACATGTACAGCTCTGCCAGGAAGAGCAGAAAAATCTCAAAAAGCTTCATTTTCTGGATCAGTCTTCTGTCCATTTCCTCCACTATTTGTCAGCTGTTTAAGAAGTTAATCCTTGTCATCTTTTTTTTGTTTGTTTCAACAAGAAAGAACCAAATAGGATAAAAGAGGACTATATATATATATATATATATGTGTGTGTATATCTCCTATGTGTACAGTTTGGCATTCATCTGAGAAAAGACCATATGCACACACACATAAACACACATGCTACGTTAAACTTGCAGACTTTGGCTTAATGAACTAGTTCTTCGTTTTATATCTGCATTTTATGGGTCATAAACATTACTGAAATATAACATTTTCACTGTAATCTTAAGCCATAATTAAAAGAGAAAGAAAGAAACTGGAGCAAAACCTGCTTTTGCTATTTGTTGGTTAACCTCGGGGGAAATTACAGTTTAAGAATGCATTTAGGTTCTTTCACGTACAGCACATGTTAATGAATATACTCAGACACACGGGTGTGGGAGCGGGATGACGGGCACAAATAGTTTTTCAAAATTACAAATATTTTAAAAAATAGTATCAGAATGCAGGAGAAAATTGAAAATACAAAAAGAGAAAATCTATGTTATTTTTTTGGACATTTTAATACCTTAGATGAAGCAAAATTCTGATGTTTTGGGACACTTTGGAGACTAGGGGCAACACCTGCAGCCACACTTGTGTGGCCATTCATTCACACCCTGTCTGGACAACAATACTCGGAAAGTTCGACTGGAATCCCAAAAATCCCCCCTGGTAACTCCCACAGCGATACACCAGCCCGACTCCCATTGGCCGGTCTCTCCATCAGTTTTCTCCGCTGATGACTCAGCTGCTGAAGCTTCCGCCTATGAGCCACACAGTCAAACATAACGTACACCGGAATGCGGGCCACACAAAGTAAAAGATGAGCGCGCACTCCATGTTTCAGGCTCAAACCACATGCACGGCGAGAGACGAATACACACCGATACGCATGCACACACACACAGTTATCCTGCTGTGTACAAAGGACTGGGGGTCAGAGTGTGAAAGGAAAAGAGGCCAAAGTTCACTCTTTCATTCCATTTTCACTCTTCTTACCCCTCTGTCCCTTAGCCCGTTTCCTGACTATGATTTCAGTTTCTTTTAAACTCTAGCTCCCTTTCACTCCATCATTCTTTCAGCCCATTTGAACTCAAAATCCCAATTGGCTATTCCCTTTTTGGGGGCGAATCCATCAAAGAAATGCCAAGATAATCATCACTTCCGACCAAAAAAATGTCACCAAGTGCACCTAAATAATATTTGTTCAGTTGCAGAGTGATGCGTGTGACATGATGCCCAGCTCAGATTAGATCTCAGAGATACAATAAAGTGACCCTTAGTGCCCTCTGTCCACCCCGCCACAGTCTGTCACTGTCACTCTGTCTCTGGAGAAATGAGTGTATCATTGAAAATAGGAGCAGATTCCTCTGTCATGTGGATGAAAGATGATGGAGGGGAAGGGGGGGTGCTCTCCTTCCTCTTCTGTGTGCATGTGTGTGTGAGAGAAAGACAGAGAGAGCTGAGGAATGCAGCCCTACTGCAGGACTGCAAGCCAGAGACAGAACAGGGGGAGGGGCAGGTTTCAGGATGTAGGCCAAAGTTACACCAACTGGGATACAAAAACAATAACGGGAGTATACTGCATTACATTTGTTGCTTAATCAGATGAATGAGCCCTATGTGTACGCATGGTGACTATATGCTAATACTCACAGCCGTGGTAGGAGGCAGGCGAGCCCTCTGATCTGCCGTACTCTTCGCTATAGGAAGTGGAGAGGTTGGGTTGAGAAGAGCCTCGGCCAAAACCTATCTGACTGCCGCCTGTGGACACCTGGGCCATACGCTCTTTGGTCTTCAAAGCCTGAGACCTGGCAGGGTGAAAAAGATAACAGTATATGTTCAATCACCTTGGCTCAAGGGAAAATTCTTAAAAAACCTCTCGCGTGAAAGTCCAAAAGAACAAATCAGCATGAGATGGAAGAAAGACCCGTCTGAGATTAAATATATTAGCAAAACCACCCTGAAAACCAGGGTTTCAATTCTAAAATGAAACCAAAATTAGTGGTAGAAATCAGGAAATACTGCAAAGCCCCCATTTTGTCAACCTTGTCATTGATCAAACAACACCATTATAGAACTGTGTGACTTCCAGCAGATCAACTGTGACACATAAATTTGGATTATCCAAAAGTTCTCCAGCTCCCAGGGGAAACACTGCATACCTATATTATAAAGAGAACAGATAAGAGCAGATACAGAACCTGTATCTAGTAATACCGACAAATGCAGCATTAGATTTTAGTCAAATCAGACGCTTTTGTATTAAAACTTCTCGTATATCTGCAATCATTTCAAAGCAAAATCATAGATAAACATTTAAATGCCAACAGTCTGTAGAGAAACTCTGCTGCACACTGGAAATGTGCAAAGGTCTGGTCGGGTTCAGGAGCGGTTTGGTTGACCTTGTTAGGTTTCACTGCCAACGAGCAGCAGAGCAGCGAGCAGAAACAATGGTGAATCGAGTCTGCTGCCTCTACCAACGACATGTAATTCGAAACACTGGCTCCACGGCTGATGATTCAAATCCTCAACTTTTAGGGGGCCACAGGGAGGGGAGGCTATCACTGTCACATCTGCAACCCCACAGAATCAGTCGGTAACCTCGGAGCGTGGCACAGTACTCATACAGTACTTTAGACTCAGGACATAACAGTGTCTTAGCATTAATTGTTCTCTCAATATATTTAAATACAAGTTGAATCCTAAAATTTTGACAACTGTGTCGATTCAAATTCAAAGATCTCACCTCTCTCCTTTAAGGCGGTCCTCGTCTTTGAGTAGGACCACTAGCTGCTTGCTCTTCTCCCTGACATTGATGCCCTGGTCTTTGCCGTCTCTGTCAATGTACTGGAAGTCCTTCAGAGTCTGGATGGCGAAGATGTTCTCTTTGCACTGCAACGCCACCCTCTCTGAGCCCGTCTTGATCAGGTAGTCGAGCAGGGTGAGTGCCTTGTAGACGTGGCGCCAGTTCTTTCCGTGGTCATTGAGCCGCTTCCAGATCATGTTCATGATTTCACTGAAGGCCACCACGTTGTATGTAAGGTCTGCGATCTCAGACATGAGAGAAGACGACGGGCCCCAGGGGTCATTAGACGTGGCCTCTCTGACTTTCTTCTCTGCTTCAGAGTAATTGTTAACCATGTTCTTCATCTGCCGGCGGATGGTGCTTGACATGGTGGCGATGAAGATGGGACAGACAGGAAGAAAAAAAAAAGTACACTCTCACACAGGAGAGGAGCTTGGACACCAATAATGGTCGGTAATGTGTGTGTGCTTCAGGTGAAGCTTGTGTTCGCACGTCTGTGTCCTTTTTCAGTGTGTTAATCTTTTTGTGTAAAAGTGTGTTTGTTTATGAGGCTTCTCCAGGCCAGTGCAGTGTTCCTGAGTCCTCCAGAACAGCGTCTGTTAAAACCATCTCCACACACACAGCGCAGGCTGCACACATGACCATGCCATCACCTGGGAAATAACAGACAAATAACAGGTTAGTTTAGGGAAGACGAGAAAAAGACACATAGGAAAAGAAAACATATGGAAAAGGAAATTCTCGATTTTTAAGCCAAGGAGTGAACATTAAAAAACTTACTTCAAATCACTTTCAGTGAGTAGCTATACTCCTCAGTGCTATATTAGATTTTTCTCAATATGTTAGACACTTGAGATTCTCAAACATCTGCACGACAGTAATGTCCTAACTAAAACGTCTTTCATAAAGGTGTTATTAATGTGCCCATTCCTACAACTAAACAATCAAGATTGTGCTGCTTTGTATTTATAGGAGCAGCTGTAGAGCCTTCCTTTTTGAAACTAGACAAACAACATGTTTCATACTTCACACTTAGATAAGCAATTTCCATGCCTGCCTCTTTCACATTATTCAAGGCCCGGGTGCTGTGACCAAGAATTGTGTTTCCATTTTATAATCTCACTTGAGTTTACAGTAACTTGACACAATGGCAAATTACAAGGCAGGGGAGTCAGGTCTGTGTGGTCATGCTACTCTGAAGCTTTTCAGAAGTCTTCAGGTGGTGAGTGGCTCACTGGGTGGGCTGGGAGGACAATCAACATGTACAGACAACACTTTAAAGTCAAACGCATGCCATGTGAAAAAGTCTACAATACTCTGCTTTAGATTAAGAAAACATCTCAATTCTGAGTTAGCAGTTTATTAAGCAAATATGTAAACTTAAAACACTGGACATGTTGTTATTGGTTTTGACAGCAGCTTGTTAAGATAAATATATTCAAAGTAGGCACAAAAGCACTAGGCAACTTTAGCAGAGCTGAATTTAAATTTTTGCTAATTTTAGTTTCTGATGAATTTAAGCATTATTCTCAAACAATTCAGAACATGATGTATCATCATCTATGTTCTTTTGCAGCACCACAGGACTAACAGTAAAAATGTGTTTCCACCCTTTGGTGGGTGGCAGGGGAGATCAACCATTTCCAGTCCGATGATGACTAGAGGAGTGACTGATGACGCCTCTGTCCTGGTTTCCTCAAAGATCAGCAGCCCAGCTACTAATCACTTCCTGACTCACACACAGACAAGTATGGACAGTGGGCGGAGACTCACAGCTGTGTAACACATCCAAGTTCCACATAAAACCTTTTGACCGCGAAACACCGAGCCTTACGAAACACACCTTGACAGTCATGCATGTCCTGATTGCTAAGTCGTGTTCTTGTGTTTGTGTGCTATACTGCTGCTTACAAAGAACAAAAATATTTCAGTGAAATGCAATATTCTCATACAGTTTAAAGTTAGATGGAAAAGACAGAATACTGCAATTAATTAGCATAGCTACGATGAAAATTTAGCAATTGTTTCTTCTCAGAATTACAGAATTGCGGTTGAGTTTTTCTGTGCCTGCCGTTTCCCTGCGTACCATCCAGGAAGACCTGTGATGACTTATCATATTCGGTAATCCGATCTCTGCACCAAGCATGCACCGACAGGCCCCACAACCAAGAGCTCCCACAAAGGGAAAAGCGTGAAAACCCACTAGGTGTCTATGCAGACTCTGTGTTAAAAAGCAATAATTGCATTTTTTTGCTCACAGTTTTCACAGTTAGCAAGCAGCCACGCAAACTGACGCTTGTGTATGCGATTGTTTCAGAGAGCTTCCTGCCTCGCAGTGCCGCAGAGAGACAGCTGGTGGTGGACGAGGGTGAGGAAACGAGGAGCGCGAGTGTATTTGGGGGATAAGAAAACAACTTGGCACATCCCATAAATTCACTTAACGCCAGTGAAACGTGATTCCTGTGACCATGCCCCCCGCTCCCTCCCCAAGCGTTTCCTCGTCACCCTCCTCCTCACCCTGCATCCGCATGAATACAGCTCAGACCTAATGACACATCTGCTGCTATAATCACCTATTCACCCGTAGCAGACAGGAGGAAGAGAGGAGAGTCTGTCTTGTCCATCCCACCCTCCTGCGCCCCCTCTTCACATCCCGGAACAACCCCCACCACTAGTCACCCCCAGCACGCCTTCGTTCAGTCCCTCTATGCTTAGTTCACTCGAGGCCCACAAGAGACAGCACACAGGACTTTTGTCTGTGTGTGTGCAGAAATGCATATTCATGTCTCAGTGCTCAGGTTAATTATATCCAAATGACTGAGACTGTCATCGTTATTGCCAAACTGTCAGTATGATATGTAAAATGGGAGGGCAACCAGAAAATTACAGAGTCCTGGGTCTGCTTTTTACAACACCAGAATCAAACACATCTGCTGCCAACCGTTCTGTGTCTGACTGACAAAGCTGAGGAGATACTCAGTCCAGCTCTTGTTTGTAATTCAATCAGCGATCCGTCTACCAGATTGCGATCTACAGGATAAATTCATGTGTTGTTAGTAAAGCAAATATTAAATCTTGTGGTGATATGTACAATGAGATACTACAGATGTCTCAGTTTTTAAAAATATTTTCTATACTGCCTCGTGGCAATATTTGATTTACATCAAATCATACTTAACATTATAGATTTTCTACCCTTTACTGTGATGTACATTTTGGGCTTAAGTTTCATAATGTTGACCTTGACAGACCTGGCTGCCTTAAAGCTGTCAAATTCATGTCAAAATATATTTCTACTGATGCTGAAGAACTGACAGAATGGCCGCATCAGCAGAAAACTGTCAGTCTCCTGCATCTACACAACAGGCCAAATGCACATCCACTGTGGCCAAAGAGTAAGGATTGAGTTTTCTGAATGAAACAGACACATAACTTGTGCGTCACAGCAAAAACACCAACCACGTTATCTCTGAAGTGGGCATAGACGCAGAACTAACTGCTACATGCAAAGTCAAAAAATTCAAATTATGCCCCACTGTGGGATCCCGTTGTATTCAAATAAGATCCGGATGAACACGCTGCGACATTATAAGATAAGTGGCTTTACGGTGAAATAAAAGGGCTTCAAGGTGACTGTTGTTTACAAGTAGTAGCAAAAATGAATGAAACCATCTTCTGGCAGCGAATACCAACCACAGACAGAGAGTTAAGGACCTGGCAGCATCCATCCAGCGGTTTGGTGTCGCTAATCAACAGGTGAAATTCTCTCACTGGACTGCAAAACAAGTCATCTGGCAAATATGTCTCCAGCCTTGGAGGTCAAGCATTGGTTTGAACTGATGGATAACATCAACAACATAAATCAAACGTTTCCCATCACCTTGGATTAAACCTGCGAGTAAATAACCTGCGAGTGAACTGCAGGGCACACAAACTGTTTTTTGTTTTTTTTTCATCTGATCTATATCATAACTATTCAACATCAAAAGACCCGGACTGCAAATGGGAACAAATGTAATTGAGACAGTGATGTGCACAACAGAATTACATCAGTGGAAAAGCATATTTGTTTTGGCAGAGAACTCACGGAAGTTATTGCTGTGCTGCCGGTGTATTAAAAAGTTTTCCTAGTTCCCTCTATTTTGACCTTTCTGCAGTGTCATGGTCAAAAGGCATTTTGTGACGGAGTTTCACAGCCAATAATGACAGCAAAAGCCCATCAGGGAAAAAAGTCAACACTGTAGACAAGCGAGCTGTCTGATACAAGAACACAACAGGTCAAACTTATCCTGACTGTGTCTTGGCAAAACCTGAGAACAGGTCTACCTTGTTGCACAGAAAGAGCAAAGCTGATCTGGAGATAGAAGGCTTGCACAACCGGGGTGACAGAGTATATTTGTGCGAGTGCAGCGTGACATTAAGTTATCCAGCCAGTTTCTTAACCATCCATTTACGTCTTTTCGCTGACAATCCAGTGCAACCGCGAGCGATGTGCACCAGTGATTAATCCTCAACTGCTCAGCCACCCAAGGATTAAGACGGTCACATAAAGTCTGACCAAAAAGACCACTTAACACTTGTTCCAAAAGCCCTAAAAAAGTGGAGTGTACGTGAGGATATGATGAGCATCAAGCCTGACACAGTGCAGAAAAGACAGGGACAAGAAGCCACCTCCTGATTCGCCTTTTGTCCTCCCTGGCTGGTGGAGAGAGACAAAGCCAAGTCAGGGACGGGAGGCGGACGGTGATGATGCATCTGTCACCCACTGTGACTGACTGATCATCCTGACAATAGACAAAGCCCTGCCCCTCTCCAGGGCCACTATATGGGGTTCAGTGGAACTCTACTCACATCTAAACCACCAGCATCTTCGACTGTGTCCTATAAAAAATTAACCCCTGCCACTGTAGATTATCTTTAAGCAAATATTTTACTTCCTATCAGCCAGCTGGCTTGAACGTTTGGAATGAAGCGAGTAAACAGACAGCGCCCACACCGTGAAGAATTCCCCCATAAATATCAATAAGTATGTCAAGTTTTTTTGCCTTCCAGCCTCGAGGTAGTGTGATCCAAATTAAGCAGTTACTTCTCTCAAAGCACCCTGCACCGCTAGAGAAAACACAAACTGAGACGCTCTTTAAAAGAAAAAAAAAATCACGGTGCCTCCTCTGGACTGATGTGATTGATAGTTAGCACAAAAGCTACACTAGCTCAAGCTAACGCTCGTTTCAGTGCCTGCGATTTTCTGTCAATTTACCTGTTTGAATTGTGAAATAATGATCGGCTCAAGTTTGTGCAGCGTCATTTTAAAACATCGGGCGGAAAAACTAGCCCTCTCGCTGCTCTGGGGGTTGCCGCTAACATAGCAAGTTTAGTGCAAACTTGCGGGCAAGTATTTGTCGCTGGCTAGCAAGCTGAGCTAACGAGCAGCGTTAACTTGCTTGCGTTGATTGAGTTCGCGTTAACTAGTTGCCTCGGCTCATTAGAAAAGTACATAACCCGGCTAAAGTTATTTTACTACACATTATGTGCCGCTTCGTTTCGCTGCTGACACGCAGATTTGCGCCAGACGAGCCAGCTGCTGACTAACGCTAATTTCTAATACGTTATCACAACTTAGCTTTGAAAAAGTTGGATCAAAGCTAGCAAAAAAGCTTGTGTTAGGTCAGCCAGCCTTTATCTCCCCCTCTCTCCGGCAATTGAGGTAAAAAACACAACTGTTGATCGCTCATCGTCTAAATGTAAGTTTACCATTTACTACATGCACACTCAGTCCCCCCACACCTAAACACACAAGCATTCCGGTCAGCTCCCTTAACGTATTTTCTATGTTAAGGCAGCCAACTAGCATGCTAAGCTAGTTAGCAGCCCTTCAAGCTAGCAGCCAAGACGGGTGCTCGGTGGAGACATCACCAGAGCAAACTGGATTACAGGACACCCTGGAAAAACAAAACAACTCGACTGTCTTTGAAAGCCGACGGTAACTTACCATAATTTTTGGGCTACGTCAGGCTCTACTGGTACTCCAGGGTTACACACCCATAAAATATTCGGGCTAATTCCAAAGGAGGGGAGGAAAAAAAAATCAAGACAGAGTACTTATTTCGGCGTTCAAGGAGCTTGTTGCGCCTCCGCCTAGCTACGCGCTGCTAATGCTAAGCCAGCTAAAGCCAGGACTACACGTATCTCCTCCTCCAGAACATGGCGGGCAGAGCGGAGGGGGGGTGGGGGGTAGCCGGGAAGGGTGTGACCAAGGCGGCTTGACTTGCCAGGGGCACAGGCAAGACCCTCCATCCCTGCTGAAAACTGGAGTCGTGTCACCCAGCAAGTACTGTGTAAGTTTCCAGCAACAGGGCTTGTTTCAGGGTGCCATTACAATTCATATGATAATGTCAAGTTTTAGGAATGATGTAAAGACTGAGGGCCTTTGTGCTGGAGGTGCAGTTAACATTTTCTGCCTCAGAACTACAAATGACAAGGGTCACCCTATTTTGCAGCCTTTTTCTATTGTTTTAGTAGCTGAACAAAGCTCTTGAGGTTCCTCTTAGGAATCACTTTCTTGCTTTATAGAGGAAGTTACACGCCAAAAGGAATTAAATTCACAGCCTATTTCACAACCAAGTACATGTCATGATTTGTCAGCTTGGGATTGGTGTGTGTGTGTGTGTGTGTGTGTGTGTTGCAGGTGTGTCAGCACGAACCACAGACTTTGCAGGACGGCATTCCATCCGTCAGACTTTACCTGTGTCTGTTCAACCGTCCCATCAGCAGGGTGTTCAACAGAAGGAGGGACACACGTCACACATGTTTTCAGGACACACATGCACACTTTTGTTTATTCAGATCAGCTTCTGAGAATAGGCACCTAAAGTTCCCTGAAATGTGTCCAGTGAGCTATGAATAGAAGGCCATGTGCGTTTAAGTTGTGTGTAACTTAAAAATAGACGTGGGGATCAAAACGTCACAGTTTCACATCTCTGCCAGCACGCACAGCAAAAGTTGCCAACAGCCCAACTACAGTTTGACAAACGCAAGCTGTTTTTTTGGGGGGGGGTTCTATTAATACGGCACCCTGGCTGGCTGGCTGGCTGGTTGGCCGGCAGTCGCATTTTATTTTGGTCTGTCATCATCTTTCTTTATATAGAGTATCTTAGTGAAGTTTTCTTCACGCTCCCTGCTATGTCGGAGAGCGGGATAAGCCAAAGGAAGCCTAAGCCGAGCTGATTTAGGTGTGTTGCTCTCTGTGTGAGAGGGAGAAAGACAGATTGACTTGGAGAACCTGGTGTGAACAGGCTTTTCAAACAATGCAAGGACACTCTTTTGTTTCTTAAAGCCAAAGGAGCTAAACATTTGCAGGGTAGGGTGCAAGAAATATGGTCTTATTATAAGCTGATGAGATTTTTTTATTTTTTTTTAATAATAGGCTGCTTACTTCCAGGAAAAAGATCTACTCATTATTACCAAAATCAGACTGATTGTTCCTGAACATGGTGTTGAAATATCCGCCGATTGTACCACGATCTGAGCTGATGACTCATCAAACTTGGACGTCCGACATCCTCATGAAAAGCAGAACCCCTGAAACACACCCACGTTTATTTAGCTGTGATGGGAACCTTTTCACACGAGAAACTTGCACTGAAGTAAGTTTCGACAGGAGAGAAGGGCATCCCGCCTTTGTGCTGTTAAATATATAAATATATGTGGTAGATGATGCATTCTTCCTGGCCTGCATGTGATCAAAGATAACATTGAAGATAAAATTAAAGGGCAGGTCCAGATATCCACCTCAGGAAGTTAATTTGCAAACAGCGTGCACTCCAAAGCAAATGTTACAGTTCTAAAATCTCACCTTGACATCCAAGACTGTTTACTAAGTCCTGTTATCACCCTGTTTCATAGCCGGGCTCGTGTTTTCTTGACACAACTGAGTTTTATCGCATTTCGTTGCATTAGCAGGCCGATTCCAGCTTGTGCAAACCTGTCAACGCTCCACTGCTTTTTATTGGTTAGTGAATGCAGTGAAGTTCAGGTATGCCATTCAGTGAAAGTGGCATCACTCATCTGCAGGTCCGGTTTCAGCCAGGAGAGGTCAGGAGTGTTCTATTATTTATTATGATCGGAGAGTTTGGTTGTAACTCAGAAGGTCTTTCTACCAAAACCCCCTGTAGCCACGTGTGTCCTTTAATAGGTGATTAGCATTAAAAGCCATTAAAGCTAATTAACATTAAATCACCTCCATTCACACCCTATTAGAGACTCATCGGGCCCTCAGCTTACCTTGCTGCACCTTTATGTCAAATGTACCGAGCAAGGTTAGTCCGGATCGCATAGAAGTGCGGTCACTGGGTAATGCAGCACAGGATTCGTACTACGCAGCATGGATCTGATCAATAAAATCCTTCAAAACCTGCTCTAAATGCCAGTGCATGCAATACAAGTGCATCCTTCTTCTCAGCCTCTTTCAAAATAAGAAAACACCAGAAGATACATCAACTTTACAACTAATGGCAAGCTCCTGATGTCCTGTTTTTTTTTTGTCAAAAACTTGCCACATCTAACCCTCATTATGTAACTATGCAGTGTTTGTCATACACCAGCAACTCAGGCACGGACCGTGGTAAAATCTCAGCCACGGAGGCAGTGACGCTTGTGAGTCATGTTCAGTTCAATACCATTCAGCAGTATGTGCATGTGAGGAAACTTACAGATGCATGTAACTGGTGCATCGCTTTCGAAACCTAAAAAGTTATGTAATGCAGAGAGGACAAAAAAGAGCGGCGGGATTCAGTTGTTGGCCTGCGATGGCACGCTTGTTTCCAGATGGAGACGAAATCAGCAGAAAAGAAAAAGGAAGATGGAAAGCATGAAATAGGATAATGTGTAAAACCTGCCACTCCTGCCAGCTTATTAGCAAAATCCTTTCATATGCAAATGTGTTGTGTGGGGGCTGATATAAATTTTACCTGAAGAAGGTGAACAAAAGGGAAAAACAGTTCATATTTGCACCTTCAGAGGCTACCTGATGAGCTCCCCTATGGATTTAACTCAGACTTCTTAGTTAGCAATCAATAAAAAGTTCTGATTTTTTTTTTAAATTTTCTAAATCTTACAGCTAATAATGCAAAACAGACACATCTTGAAATCTAGGCCTCCTCGTTTTTGTTCAGTTCTTTGCTTCCTCGTGTTCCTGCATTCAAGTATCCTCCTGTGCTTCAGGTTCACGGTCCTGCTGCCTGCCTGCCTGCCTGCCTGCAGCTTCGACCAGCTTTGCTTCATCGGTCACAGTGGCGGCTCTCCATCTCCGTGTGCCGCTCCGCCCTGCAAGTTCTCGCTTGCCCGCTTCACCTGTTCGGCCACGCTTCCACCACCACCTGCAGTCGTCTTCCGCCCTCAGCCTTCGCCATCACCTCACTACCTCCATGTTCTGCAAAAAAAGAAAAAAAAAAAAGCGTGGTAAGCCTTTCATTGAGTCTGCTTTGAGGTCCAGATTACCAGTTGTCAGAACAGCAACACAACTAACTGATCATTTCAACGTACATTTCCAAAGAAAACGCCATATTCATTCAAGCACTGCTGGTGTTTTCTGCACAACTTCATGCCATATTTGACATATATATCCAAATTGGAAACATTTTCTTAACAGTGTGGCCAGAAAATTCCCTTTTGCACTCAAAATGATTGCATGAGGTGGAAAACTTCTAACCTTGTGAAACTGCCGATGCAGATAAAAGTCAATTATGGTTCCACACAAAATAAAAAAAATAACCCCTTTATTACAAATAGCTAGTGAGTATATAAGATGAGCACAGCAGTGGGCGTTCTTGCATAGCAAAGCCTACATGTGTATTTAAATTTTTTTTAAAATATCGATTCTGGCTCTTTTATTCCTTGTTGCGCTGAGTCAGCTACAAAATATGTCCCTCACATAAGAATAAGTAGAGAGATTCAACAAATATGGTTTGTAGTAGAAATAGTAACAGAAAAGAAAAGAAACGACAGGGTGGGAACAAACTGATAAGATACAAAACAGATGCTGAGAGGTACTGTTTTTGTCTTTGAGGGGAAGTTGAAAGACTTTGTGCCCACTTGCTTTTTCCGCCATTGCCCACTTGCTTCCGCTCTCTCTCTCTCTCTTTCTCACACACACACACACACACACCCGTCTATTTCATGCCCTCTGCATCAGTGCCCCTGACAGGATGAAATGTTACTGTCACTCAAGCAGAAAAGCACTAGCCTGCATACTCGATGCGTCTGTGTGTTCCTGGTAACACACATGCACTGTACTAAAGTTTTCCGGGTTAGAAAATTCACCACTTGTAAATTCCACGTGAACTCTTTGAAGTAAATATAATCATCAGCATTATCAAGAAAAATGCGTCAGCGACAGCTGATGTAATGCAAAAAACTTTCATAAAAGTTTCAACCTGCCGTTAAAAAAAACATCCGGTCCTGTCTCTACTGGAAAAGGAGTCAGGAAATGATGTAACCGCATCAGCTGAGTGGCTTGAACAAAAGAAAAAGAGTCGAAGCGGAGAGCAGCACTGCAGCTGAGACAAAGAAGAGAACCACCTACAGAAACTCAAACTTGAGAAATAGAAAATCCAAAGAAAACACAAAAGTATCACCCACACTGTTTGTTTGACAAGTGAGGCTGTGAAACGCCGCGCGGGAACACAACAGCAAATTGGCATTACGCACACATTTAAATGCAGGAAAAGCTTCATGAGCGTACATGTGTAGATCTCGTATTCATCTCTAAGTTATTTGATGCTTTAAATTACAAGAAGCATCAAATTCAGCATTTTAAACACACTGGAAGTCAAAAAAACAGTAAAGGACAAGACTGTGCTTTGGGCCCTTGAGCTGAAAGGCAGTTCCACTTCCTCTCTTCCTCTTCCTCTTCTATTCTTTACATCACCACACGTCTTGCTCTCCTCTGTCTTCCTCCTGCGGTCCTTCTTCTCCAGGCTGAGTCAAGCGGCCAGCTGACCGGGTATTTCCTGGACAGGTGCTAAAGAAACCACAGTCACAGTTTTCCTGCTCTTCTGCTTTGTCTTATTCTTTTTTGGTTGAGCTCATTTTTCTCTTCTCTGTCTCTCTCTCTCAGACATGCAGACCACCCAGATGATATCTACTTACCCTTAGGTGTGGCAGCTATTTTGGCAGTTAATTTGATTTGCTGCTTGTTGCGTTTGGCAAAGAAAACTTTCCAGACTCCTCTACGCAGACACACACCCAGCACACACACACACACACACACATGCACGCTGTGTCTGATTGGAGGGTTTTCACAAAGACGATGCCCTGACCTCTGACTTTGACCCCTGCACGCTGAAACCTACACACAAACCAAACCTGAACTAGCCCCCGACATAGCCTATAATAGAAGATAAACCTAATTCCACATCACAGTCCTGAATGAGCACAAACATACTTTATGTTCCTTTTGAAATCCTACCAACTTTTTCCTTTTTCCAGTTCTTCCTGATGGGAAATGAGGCGAGCACTAATAGTTTCCTCTGTTATTCATTAATTATGTTGCTTTAGCGAACTCTTTACATTCTAGCTGTTGAGCCTTTTCTCCTGGGGTTAGTGCTGTGATTTCTTTTGAGTAAAAAAGTTGTAATTTTTGGGTATTTGGACGTGCAAAACATACATTTCCCTTCATATTTGAAGTTAATAAGAGACTTTGAAATGCATGTAAGTTGTTTCAAATGTTAGGCTGGAGTCTGAAAGGATAAAAAAATCAATTAAAATGAAAGAATACTCGTTCTATGGAAGCGTTTCACTGCAGGATAAAATTCATACCACATGAGTAAGAGCTGCATTTCTTTTTGTAAGTTAAACCATCCAGAAAAAGAAGTAATTAACCTTGCAAAGTGTTTTATTTTATTAGCATACTGGTTCGTCAATTTTTGCAATGTTCAGTTGTTTTCCAGCAAACAGTTTTAGCCTCACAGTAAGCGACAGCAGAAGCTAATTTATGGTCAGTGCTGGGGATTAGCAGGAGACCAAGTGTGTGACGCAGATTTTCATTTTTTTAGCCCTGAGTTGGATTTTTCTCATCAATAACACGATCACAACACGATAAGGCCTTAATTACACGCGTTGCCCCTTGTAACTGTGTTTTTTTTTTGTGATCTGATGAGCAGTTGGAAGATTCCTTTTGTTTCATTATTCAACATGGGTTGGAATATGTGTAGTATTGTTGTGAACTATGGCCATGTTTATGTTCTTTTATTCACTGTGATAGAGAGATGAACAGAAAGCTGCAGTGGAAACATATATATTTTAGAGATGTGTTAGTGAATAGAAAATAACAGCACCTTTTTTCAACTTGCTTCATGTTGTTTTCACTCTTGACAATCTGTCCTGGCATCACAGGCCTGTAGGAGAAAACAGCAGTGAGTGTGCAGCGTCCGTGGTGTCTGTGAAGCTGCTATATCCTGATGTTCGGTATGTATTTCACTCAGCGTGGCCAGCAGCATCCAGAGCCTATTTATAAAACCACAAAAGGCACGTCAGTCCTTAAATATAAAAGAAGCTTGATTATGACATTCTCTCAGATTATTCAGCATTGTTAGTTTTGAAGTTTCTTTCAGTAGATAAAAGAAAATACAAAAAAAATGTGAAAAATGTGGCCGTTCCCCGCAGCCGGAAAAATATTCCAACTTCTAGAGAGACCCACTGAAGGCTTCACACAGTTGATTAGTGGTATAATTATCTGTCTTTAATCCATTTTTACTACATAAAGGAACATTAGTTGCAGTTTGAACCGCATCTACTCATTAAACCAGAGGTTTAGTCAAGCATTACTTCATTTCTCCTGTAGATTGTCGTACGGGGCCGAAGCCTATTCCAGGTTTCATTTACTAATTCATTAAATGTTTATTTAAACTCGGAGGTACGGAGGCCTCATTTGCAATGCTGCTGAGTAAGAAAGTAAATGATGCAGGTGCGCGAATAAGAAACCAATAACAATAAAGAATTAAGTTAGTAATGGAAAGATTAATTAGTCTTGAAAACAAATGAATCGACCGAAACAAGAGCAGCTGGAAGTGGAATAGGATGCAATTACAAACCTGAATTCCCCTAAAGGTAAAAAATGAGTCAAGCTTTAGATTGTTGCAGGTTGCAAGCGCACAGTGAGTAAAACTGGATTTCCCGAGCTCATTAAAAATTCCCGGCACCTGCAGCGCAATCTACTTATTTGATCCTGCATGGTAGACACATTAAGATACAGCAATGGGGGAAAATGAACAGTAAAGGCCTTCTAAATAAATAAAAGCCCCTCCAGTTCCATGGCAGGGCTACCACAGCGAGTCAGACAGCCATGCATTCTCACAGCTGCACTTTATCGTGTGCAACCTGTGGGAGGAAGCTGCAGCACCCACAGAAAACCTACAGAGACACAGTACGAACGTGCAAACTCCACAAAGGAAGGCTGACCAGCAGCTTCATGCCTTCTTAGCATGAGGTGACAGTGCTAACCGCCGCACCAAACGTGACGTCACCGAAACTATCATTTGAAGCCTCTCACTCCTGCAAACTTTTCATGATGATTTTGTGTGTTAGTTTAGGCGTTTTGTTACGTCCGCAGCACGTCGGAGTGATCGGCTCCACAGAGTGTGAGTGAATCCTGAGCACGTGCCTCTAGAATTGAAATCAAAAGCCTTTTTTTTTTTTAATATACCGTCCAGTATTTCCAGTTTTACTCTGGGGCAGTTTCTTGCAACACTGGATTCGACTCAGCAGGGGACCTGAGTTGGGACAAGTGATGTCGGCTGTCAGTGACGTCTGACATCATAGCTAGTTTTATCATCAATCATATATTCTTTTATTTAAAAAAAAAAAAAAAAGAGCAAACTTTTCAAGCTTTACTCAGTTTTTTGGTGTGTGAGAAGATGCATCGTGACATCAATAGAACATAGAAGCAGGAAAGTGAAAAGACAAGAGAGCAGTTGTGGCTGCAACAAGTGCAAGTCGGTTCTGCCAATAAATAATTTGGTATTTTAATTTTATGACACTTTGCCCTGACCTTATCTAACATCTTTGAAGGTGATAGATGAGGACCATGAGATCACTTCTACACTTTGAAGGCGTCAAACTGACGCAGGGTGACAAACACCAAACCGCACAAAGACACACAGGAGAATACATAAAAACTGTAACACAAACAGAACACACAAGCAGGAAAGTGGACAGACAAGATAGCAAATCCATCCTGCACCTAAGATCAGACAACTTTCCGTGTCAGTTCTGAATGCTAATAAATAATTTCAGATTTTCATTTTATTGAACCTTGCCCTGACCTTATGTAAGATTACAATCTATAAAAGTGAGGACCATGAGATCACTTTTACACTTTGAAGGTGTCAAACTGACGCCGGGTGACAAACACCAAACCACACAGAGAGACACAGGAGAATACATCGCTTAAAAACTGTAACACAAATAGAACTGGAAGCAGGAAAGTGGACAGACAAGATAGCAAATCCATCCTGCACCTGAAATCGGACAACTTTCTGCGTGCGACCGATGAATAATTTTGGATTTTCATTTTATTGAACCTTGCCCTGACCTTATATAAGATTACAATCTATAAAGGTGAGGAACCTGAGATCACTTTTACACTTTGAAGGTGTCAAACTGAAGCATAGTGACGGATGACAAACCGCACACAGAGACACGCGGGAGGACTTGAGTGAGGGAAGCGCACACACAGAATCCACAGAAGCCACACCGAGAGTGTAAAGACAAATATATACTCAGGAAGTGCCTCCCACTCTCTTGCCCCTGCTTGCTCTCCCTCCTCTCTCTCTCTCTGAATGTTACTCATGGCAGTGTGTTGCTGAGCAGCAGCCAGTCGTGTTTTTCCCCTCGCCGAGCTCACTCGCTCTCTCTCTCTCTCTCATCCTCTGCTCCCTCACACACGCTCTGTTGCTCAGCGGACGGACGAGACCTCCTCCTTTCCGCTTCTGCTCTCCCTGTTTGTTTGTTTGTTTGTTTTTTTCCCACCACATCGTCTTATTTCATCTGTTTCTTTGCCACATTTCTCCCTCTTTTGCCCCCCCCCCCAGCCACCTGTGCCAGGGGCATTAGTGGGGGTCCTGGCGTTTGTGTGAGTGTGTGTGTGTGAGTGTGTGTGTGTGGGGCTTCAGCAGCATGGAAGCAGTGGCATTGTATACATTTCGTGCCACGGAGGGCGATGAACTCAGTTTCAACAAGGGAGACTTGCTCAAGGTAAGATAAAGAATTTGTCACTTGTTTTCTCTCCGTCTGTCTGTCTGTCCATCTATCTGATCATCCGCCTCTCTCTTCTCTCCCTCTGCCTCCACCGACTGTGATAATTACAACAATTACAACTTTCGCGTCTACAGCTCTTGACATTCTGTATCCAGGTGCTGCTGTTGTGTACGAAAAAAAAAAAAAAAGAAAAAAAGATCAGTATGAAAACCAGCATGTAGAAGAAGGCTTGAACTTGTTTTGAATGTTAAAAACTGTCATTTATTTTATTGAAATTAGGAATGGTATTTTCCTCTTCTGGATGCAGCTGCAAGCAAAGAAAATACAGTAATAGGAATCAAGTACTAAAATTAAACCACATTAAGGAAATTCTTTGACATTTTGGGACTTTTTTTTTTTTTTTTCAGAATTATTTCAGGACATTCACGGTACTTTCCTGTTATAAATGTGAATCTGGAGCCAGCAGTCAGTTAGCTTAGCTTAGTATACAGACTGAAAACAATGAGGCACAGGCTCGTACAAAATCTGCCTCCAAGCACGACTAAAACTCACAAACTTTTCATATCTTATTTGGTTAATCTGTGCAAAAACTGGGGGGAAAAAAAGAAGAAGTTGCGGTTGGTGTCGGACTGCTGCTCGTCTGGAACCAGAAACATGCTGAACTGTCCAAACATAACTCCCCTCATCTACCAACAAGCATATTTCCCAAAACGACAAACGTATCTAATGTTGTTAGAGGATGCATCATTTATTTTAAGGCTGCGGTTTTTGTTCTTTTTTGATGGATGACAGCAGAATGTTATGATCGTACAAAACCACATAAGACATCAAATGTAAACCTCAGAATTAAATACCAAATGCTTTTTTTCTAGACTTGCACAGTCATACACTAAGAAATCCATGCTAAAAAACACAGTGAGAGCTATTTCCCCGCTGAATTTTGCCTCAGCTGCATGTCATTGGAATATTGTTATATCCATTTATACTTCCAAAGCTAGTTTTGGGAAATTTTTGAGTCATATGGAAAGACAGACTCTATCACAAAATAACCCCATGACATGCCTCAGATAACGTCTAACAAGAAAATAATGCCCGAGGATGGAATTTACCTTTTTACTGTATGGAGGAGCCTCATATATTATTCATCCCGTCACTACACATGAATAAAAATGCTTCTCACTTCTGCCGTCTGAGAAGTCATTTGCTCGGAGTGTCAGGGAGTGATGCAGCGGGCTGGTGTGAGGTGGCATTTTGGATTTGCTGTCAGTGAATATCGTTACAATGGTCTATTTTTCTGAACTTTCTGGCCACGGCGAGGCATTTACAGGAACTAAAAATGGGGCCGACACTTAAAACGCCGCTGAGTTCATGTGACAACGCTTTCGTTCCTCCTGCTGGGATAAACGGCTTTCTTGTCTCTGCCAACATGCCAACAGCTCTGGTTCAAACTTGGGTCAAACAGTACTTTTAAATAATTCTTTTAACGTTTGTTCGTTGCTGCTTCAAGCAGCAGATGGCCCGAGCTTCGTAACATCGTAACAGCTCATACAGTGTCATGTTAAGTGTCCTTCATTTACAAAAAAATGCTGCATGGACAGTTAGACGCCTTCCTGCTGGTGTCCTTTTACTATGTCAAATCCCACCTTTCCAGCAAATGAAGCTTCATTTGGTCCCCAGAGATGCTTCCTTTTTTTTTTTTTTGTCCCTTTGTTATGGATAAGAGCAGATGGGTTTATATATACTGTTCTATTGGGGTACACAGTTTTCTTCATGTTTCATTGTGCAGCAGCCATGTGGAACTGAGTTGACTCATAGAGAAAGGGTAAAAATAGCCTCATGGATACATAAAAAAAAAAAAAGTTGCAGCTCTGACATCCTGTTAAAAGCTGGAAGACAGCGTGGCCAAGTTTGACACATGGGGGACGCAGAAAGTGGAGCGCAAAAAACACTTGTTTTTCTTTTGTTCGGCAAACACCAACACACGAACGCGACAACTCCTCTCTCGCTGGCTGCCAATAAAATCACAGGTACTACAATGGTACTAACAAACATGCAAAGTGAACTTAAATCTTTGTTTTTTAACGGGAAGCATTCTTTCAGAAAAAAAAAAAAGCCCTTTGCTTCCCCTGAGTGGTGACCAGGTGCAGACGACCATACCTGACCTGTTTTTCAGCCTCATTAAGAGTTTTGGGTCCAATCTTTACAGTCTACTGCCATGTTCAAATGTTGTGTGCATCTTGTGTCTCAAAGCATGATAGTTGTTTTAAGGGTTAATCGTTGAATTCATTGGAATTAGTTAGTCACGGCTGAATCGGTCATGGATAAACATCCGAAATACACCACTTCAATGCAGATTAATAGATTGTGTCCAACATAAGAAAACAACATTTAAAATCCAGTGAGGCATAACAAAGTAACACAACATTGTAATCACATGACTTTTGTTTGTAACGCATAAATGGACCGTATTAAGGGTCAGGGCCATCTTGACTCTCCTGCACATGCGACTAAATGTTGTTTTCTCCGTGACGTTTTTCTGTGAAACGCTCTTCGGGTTGGTTTTGCGCCAACTTTGCTCTTGACTTTGTGGTAATACTTTATGAAAGAGCATACAAGAAACGAGTGTAGCACAGAGTTTGTCGCTGATATGTAGACATGTGCAAGGTTTAAATTGATATTGTCAACTGGAAATTAGGTTAGAGTGCATTTGGGGCGATGCTGAGTAAGAGAAAAGTACGAATTTACTTTCTACGTGGAGTGAATAGGTAATGTATAAGACACCAAAGCTGTCTGTATCTCAGTAAGTTAAATGTATGTTGGACGTGTTCAACATTTAACACAACAGTTTAGACAGCGCTATTAGTTATACACAGTTTCCCCTGCAGCTGTATGGAGAACTACAACTAAATCATTACTTAAAATCAGGTCATATTTCATATAATTTAATACACAGCGCAAAAGATGGACCTTTTCTTTACAAGTAGGTGGCAACAGCTGAGTTCTCACCCAACACAACAAACAAGCATCTGGGTTGTATTTTACACAATGCAATGCTTTACCTAAACATGTACAACTCCTTTAGAAACTGTTGATTGTATCGTACACAACCGAGAAATGAAATTAAGAAGCAAAACTGCTGCACTAGACGTGAGAAAAAGAGATGTGAGAGGGGAGACGGTGCTTTATGAGACAAATTGTGGTTAGAAAGTTAACGTGTGATATCCACAGCCAGAGTTAAAGTGGTAAAATAATTGAGGCGATGGCACAGAAGAAGTTCCAACTGTGCTACTTATGTGAGTATGATATTTTAGAGTAAAATAAAGCATCAAAGCATAGCAAGGGGTTGATTACGAGCGATTTCTTCTCATTCGAACGCGCCATTGTTTGGCTGAGAATGAAACCAGCAACCTATTGAAAAGGCAATCATTCAGGTCTGTGGGTGAACAATGATTGATGCTACGAAAAGTAAATCACTCCATAGCCTGCAACACATTTTAAAATGATTGTACAAATGTGCGGTGTAGCCATTACAAATAGCTGATGCATGAAATGAAGTTTCTGAAGGCAGAGATGGGAAAAAAGCAACTTTTTTTTGGCAGATGAGCAACATTGCCCAAGGAGTTCTCCATCATAGCTGCGTTGACATCCTCATTGCCAGGATGGGGAACTTTCAGGCAAGGCAGGATGCTTTAACTTTATGTCACATGCTAGTTTAGTGCCTTTAGTTTCCCTGATAAAGCAAAGAGGCAACACAACAAGAGTTCAAAACGGGAACGAACCGCCGCTCAGTAGGAAAGATAAGCAAAACAGAGGGTTTATAAAATGTGTCACAGCAAGGCAGGCAGAGCAAACAAAACAGCATCTTAAAATATCAAAACGACACGCCATGTCACAGCCGGATTAGCATACTGAATAAAAAATGACAAAAGAACGCGAGCAGAGCATCAGGCAATGAAATGAGAGAGGATAAAACAGGTAAACATTAAAGGAGGAACATATCAGGAGACAATGTGTCTCTCACAATTACAGACTGTCTTCTGTACACTAAGCTTGTCTGAAAGCTGTCAAAATATTAATAATTTCCGATTACCAGTCCCAGTTTTATTCAAAATAGAAGCTGAGGGCTGGAGCGCGGCAGCGAGAGCGAGAACAAGCAGTTGTCACTTCTTTCAGTTACCGCCTGTGTTTGCAACAATAACTTGAAGCCCTTTGATCGGTGCAGAAATACAGTACATTTTGACATATTGGTTAAATTTTTTGGGATGATTTGTGACATAAAAACAGTGTATGCCGACTCTCTTTACTGTTATCATTTTGAACTCTGCATGCGTTAGTTACCATAAATGCTTTGTCCGCTGTCCACATCTTTATTGTCTGTGATTAACAGAACCTGAGCCACATTTTGGGCATTTATGAGCTACTTGTTGCAGGAGCTAAATTCTTCATGGTTCCATAGTACACCCCTTTTTAACAAGTCACAGTTTCACATTGCCCAGAGAGTGCATTTCAAGTTTCAGCTCACATCTAACATGCCTGAATGCTGTTTCAGAGCGTTGTAGATGGTGGGCGGTGTTTGGCCTGTTATGACATCACAACCGGCTGCAAACCCGAACAGCTTTTTTAAAGACATAACTTCTAATCTACAGAGAAAGCAAAGAAATAAAGCGATGGCCTTTTTTCATATTTTGCAAGTCTGAACACACTGAGAACACTTCATTGTATTCAAAAACAATAAAAAAGTGGATTTATGGAACCTTTAAAGCAAGACTATGCAGCACTAGCTAAAACACAGTAACTGCAGACGACAAATGGCAGTCACGTTGCACACATTGCTAAGTTGGCTTTACTTTGTTCCTACCTTTTGTGAGCAAGCAACAATTAAAACTTAAACATACCGTCTAATTGTAGTACAAATTAAGCGGAGTAGGGTTGTCCCAATTAGGTTCTTTTTAGCCGCAGATCCCACCGAAGTAATTTGATGTTTAGTATCTGCAGATACTGTATTGTTTCCCGGATATTGCACTCTTCAAGTGCATCAAGTAAACAAAATCCCTCCAATTTATATGCTTAACATCTGCTCTTCAATGCTTTACAAAAATATTGCATTTATGCCTTAAAGCTGTCCCTTAATGTTGCATATGTGGTCGTGAACCTTGTTGTAAAGCTCCAGCAGGACACTGTGTGGAGAGGTTAGGGTGTACTGTCGCTCCACAAGCTTCATAAGATGGCAAAAAAAACTGTATTCTCTACATGCATGTCCAAAAATGTATTGTAGATTAGCTGTAGTACCTGATTGTGGTGGACACTTGACCTACTGGCAGTTCTGTGCCGGCAAGCAGAGAGCATTGTGGGAGTTTAGTAACAGGCCACTATGACAAAGACTGCTGTGACCCTTAATGGCCTCCAGACAGAGTTCATGTGGTTCAGTCAAACTGGGTGTCACAAGGACACTATTTGTTTATCCTAGTGGTGTATGTAGTGGAGCTGTCTGTGTAGCCAAAATCAGCTGACTGAAGCAGCAACTGGACAAAACTCTCATTTGTGTTATCAATTGAGCAGTTATTGATCAAAAATGTCACAGATAAATGTAATCCCTATATCACACCACAAGGATCAGGCTTATGTTTGAGTCGATGCCAATCAGTTTAAAAAACCTTGATCTCCATTTTTGAGATTACATCAGTTCATGATTAAAGCAGAATCTGAAAGTCAGCTAACGTTAACCACCAAAAGCTATCCGTCGCACCAGAGAACTGGGTCAATTGGATCAAACATGTTGGTTGATGTAGCTCACGTCTGCTGCCTGCCGTGTGTGTAATCATGAAAGGCCAACAATTCTTTCAAATTTGATTGAGTTTAGGGCCTCAGGTCAAAAAAGATGGATGAAAGCAGCAGCACTGGCTTAAGCAGAGAGGCCTGGGGCAGAGAGTGATATATAGCGGGAGGGTGAGAAATGATACTGGCCTTTCACCTTACAGTAATAGGCTGCACCAACATCATTGTGGGCTACATTTCATCTGTGTGTGTGTGTGTCTGTGTGCTTGCTCTTAGATCACGAACATGGAGGATGATCCAAACTGGTACACAGCTGAGCTCCACAACAGGAAGGGCTTTGTGCCGAAAAACTACATTAACCTGCGGCCACACGCGTAAGTACACACACACACACACACACACACACACACACACACACACACACACACATATCTCCAGCCGATCTGTGAAGCAGATGAAACCACTTCACACATCCAGCGCTGGTCTATCTAAACAGCTCATCAGTGAGGATGTGCGCAGCGTACAGCTCGGGGCGTTTTCTGCTCTGCTTTGGACATCTGTACTTCGACATAAGGCGAGCGCACCCAAAGGGATACGCTCGCTGGCTGCCTTACGTAATCACACATGATATAGCCGTGTGTGTTTACAGTTAAGCTGCTGGTCTCCCGTCAGATGCTCACACACCAGCTGGGTTCTACATTCGCTGTGACAAACGCTAAACTGACATTACAGCGGCTCGTTAATGAACACTGATGCCTGCCTAGTTAAGTTTGCGCTCACCCCTCCTCCCTCCCTCCCTCCCTCCCTCGGGAGATGTCTGTTAGGATGTGTGTCTCTGAGTGTTTTCCTTTACTCCATCCTCCTCCACGTTTCTTCACAGAGTCGTGAAATAAAAAAAAAGAAAACTGAATTCTGACCTCATGGCCTCAACCGAAAGGATCCTACAATTTCGCACTTCTCTCTTCGCATGAGTCATCAAGCCGACTGTTGTCGCAGGTCCATGAAAGCAGAATGTCATTTATGCAAACGTTGCATCCGAGGAAAAGTGCTCTGCTAAGCAAGACTAATGAGTGGAAAAGAAATGAAAAAAATGACACGATTACTTCACAGCTGACAACTCAAATCCAACGTTTTTGGTGTTGAATGTTTTAAAATAACTTCGCAAATGTGCCAGTCGTTCATGTGTTTTGTTCTCACCTTTGACTTTTCTTTTATTTCTTTGACAGCTCTGATCTGAGCTTTAAATCCTGTCAAACATTTGGAGCTAACAGATATCTACAGACAGCGTCTCCTTTCTCGAGCTCCAGCGCTGTCTAAACAACACATGCATGAAACAGCGACTCCGGTGACCTCTTTGTTTCTTACTTATTTACTTACTTTCTGTCTTGCCTCCAGCTGGTTCGCCGGTCGTATATCTCGTGGCGTGGCAGAAAGTCGACTCAGACACAGGGAGTGTGGAGCTTTTCTGGTCAGAGAGAGCGAGAGTGCACCCGGGGAGTTCTCCATGTCCGTCAGGTAGGAGATAATTACGCTCACATTTCCGAATGTCCCAATTTGTTCTCTTTCCTGCACATATAAACGAATCATTTTGCTTTTCTTGGGTTATTGCACCACTTTGATGTATTCATTCCTTCATATTCCAGTATATTCATATCCATGCAACAGCCACGTCTCGCTAGTTTCATGTCATCCTCATTAAATTAGCAGACCTTTCTAAGCACATACAGCATTGTTTCTCTTTTGCAAGTTCACTATTACATTTTAGATGTGTGCATGCATGAGTGTCCATGTACGGTGGCAGAAGGGGATCAGAGGAGGAGGGTGAGAGGATAAGGTGCGGGGCGGAGGGTAAGAGGGAGGATCTGCAAGCCCTCCAGCCTGATGTGAGCTAATCCTGTCTGGCACGCCGCAGCATCTGGAGCTGCTGATGGGGCTGATCGGTTGTCTTGTCCGTGGACGGCGGTCAGGAATGCAGCTGAGGCTTGGTGTTGAGCCTCGGGTGGCTGTGCGGATGTTGGAGGTGGAGAGTATACAGAGTTTGTGTGTGTGTGTTGTGGGTAGTATGGAGTTTGGAGCTGATAAAGGCCAGACTTGGAACTAAGAGTTGGCTCTTAACTGAGTTCCTGAGGCTGTAAGACTACCTGGCTCAAGTCAGGAGTTAAGAGTTGGATTTGTGGGTTGTTTTGTGGTTGGATTTGAAATTGCTTGGGCATGATATCTTTCTGTCTCTCTCGGCGGATTTGTCTTAGGACAGCAATTTGGAAGCAGGAAAGGGAAAAATAGGTTGCCTATATTAAGAAAATATAAAGAGGAAATTATAGAAGAGGCAGAGAAGGGAGGTGCTGCGTGTAAAATAGATTTGCCAAGAGGGGACAGGGAGGATTTTTGATGCTCCTTGTGTTTTTTTGTTTTTTTTTGGCTGTTCATTGATGTCTTTCTGGCTGTTGTTGCTGGATGGTGTAGCAGCTTGAAAAATGGGTCAGGTGTTTGTGTTTGCGAATGCGTGTGGTTCTTGTGTGCTGACAGCGCTCCTGTCAGAGGAGACGTCCTGACAGCAGTAACTGCGGAGACTTCAGTCGCAGCTCAGCATGGTCCAGCTTTGACGTCAGTCTGTGAAAAATCAGATCCACTTTCACGGCCGCGAGTGAAGCCAAGGCGGGACTTTGTTTCTATATTTACAGGAAAACTGCTGGTGAAGACAGAAAATCATGAAACACTGTGAATGTGGTGCAAGGTTAAATTGGTTAATTATTAAATTTTTTGTGCCAAAGCGGACCAAACTACAACAAATCCAAAGCTGAGTTTTATGTTTTTTTCATTAAGTGTTGATGCTCTACTAGTTTGTGGCAAAGCGGTCCAACCAACAGCCCACTAGTAATGTTACAATGTGGCTGTGTCCAAAGTCACTCCCTATGCCCTATATAGTGCACTATATAGGGTGCACGACATTTTGTAGGGGTGTCCGAATGTTAAGTTACAAATGTTACACCCTATATAGTGCACTCAAAGTATCCCACAATGCACCGTGAAAAGTAGTGTACAGCCGATGGTCACTAACCGAGCAATATGGACCGTCATGCATTGCGCGAAAGGAAATGGAAATGCAGATGAACGAGAGTGCGGAAAAATCCCCGTTTGTTTTGTTAAATTTTATTTTACCCGGACAGTGAACGTCGCTAACATTGCAGCACTAGATTGTGATTTGGACATACTGCACCACTTTATTTAAATTGCTTTAAGTTACTGGATCCTGAAGAAACGCTCTCATCTGGTATGTAGCAAAATGACAATAAACTTGATTTAATTTGATTTCTTAGCTACGCATAAACTGTGAATTTGATGTGTTTGTACTACGCTGTTGCAGCACAAATCGCGGCTAGCGAGCGACGTAATTAATAGCTCGAATAGTGTCCGAAATGTTACTTTGCCGAGGTGCTCCCTATTTCGGACACAGCCTGTGACTTTGACAATTGGTCCACAATGGATTTGGCTTGAAAATTTAGTAGCAAACTGGGCCAAGCCACAGGAATTGTTGACCATTATATCGCAGGCGCAGGTAGTTGCACATGTTTGCAACACAAGATGGTGGACATCTCAACCTCAAGCCCCATGAAAACTCAACTTGTAGGTATGGCAAGGTAAAATAAAAACTTAATGAACCACCACCAAGCAACTATTTCTACCTCTTGGTCCTCAAAAGTACCGTAATTTCCGGACCATTGAGTGCACCTGAATATAAGCTGCACCCACTAACTTTAAAAAGAAAAAAAAAATGTACATATATAGGCCGCACTTGTCTATATGCCGCAGGTGTCCACGTTGTAACATGAGATATTTACACAGAAAGATTTTTTACCTTTTAATGAAATACGTACCGTAAATGATTTTTTTTCCAAACAGTGCCTGTAACACAGCTGGTTAAGGAAAATAAAAAATACAGTAGCCTACCAAGAAAAGTCATTGATCGCTGTCTTCATCTTCCTCCTGCGCACTGAAGTTGTTTTCTTTAGTGTCAGAATTGAACAGCCTCAGAATTGGTTCGTCACACACTTCCTCAATCTCTCTGTCGTTGTTGCTCTCAATGTCAAAAAATCCATAAATTATCCACGTCATTGTTTAAGCTGCAGTATTCAAAGTGTGTGGAAAAAGTAGCGACTTATAGTCCGGAAATTATGGTATCTCTAGTTCCTCATGATGCCCCATGGAAACTCTTCAATGCTGTTTAGCAAGACAAACCTTGAATCTGTTTTTTTTCCTCAAAAAATAGAAAATGTGGTATGACCTGCTTTGTCACTCAGCAAAATGAAAGGCAAAATTAAAACTCAATAAATCATCAAAAAGTAGCTGATGGACAGTGTTGGAACATCTTTGGATGCATAGAATGAATCCTCCAACTACCAGGATTCTTTTTTTTAGCAACATATGTTAATGTGGTTTGGCCCACTTTGGCTCTAACCTCCTCAGTTGATCATGTGAATATCTAATGGTGTTCAAGATCAGAAGCACGTGCAGAGGTGTTGGGACGTATTAGTTGTTAGGGGGTGTGAAACATGATTGTGGTGTTGAGTAAGACCACAACAAAAGACATTCGTCATAATTCCATTTGTCATAAACACTGTTATTATCCCTTTTGTTCTTTCATTTATTTTGCTATTGCATTTCTCAGGCTTCATTTCATGCACAAAAATTTAATTAACCATCAAACGAGAAAAGAAAATTGCCTTGTTAATCATTACACTGCATTTAAATTATGCTTATACATACCTTAGTACGAAGGTCATGATTACAAATTCCCCAGAAAAGGATAGTGAGACACAAAAATAAAGACCCAAACTATAGTAAAGTACTTGAAGCTATTTACTGGGTTGAATATGTACTTATATTGTATGTAAAACAGCTTTCTGATTTGTATGTCTCCTGTAGATAAATATAGTAGTTGGGTCTCCTCCCAGTTTGGTGTTCACAGAAAAACCTCCCAAAGAAGCTGTCCAGGAGGCATCATAATCCAATTCTCAAACCAATTCAGCTGAATCCCTTTAATGCGAAGGAGCAGCGACGTCAAGCTCCTCAGCTTGTCTCTAAGGCTGGACCCAGCCGCCCTGCTCAACCCATTCTGGTCATTTCGACCGTAGGCGACTCGTAAATCAAGAGCTTCACCTTCCAGCTCCGTCTTCATCACGACAGTCCAGTACAACGTTCACATTACTGATGACGGGGCCTCAATCCATCTGTCCATCACACATTCTATTTTTCCAAGGACAAGATCCCACGATACATAAACTCCCTTCTTTGAGGCAGCAACTTACCCCCAACCCAGAAGGGGGAAAAGATAATAAAAACAATCTACCGGTTTTCAACACGATGGCACAAGACTTGGAGGACTCTCATTCTGGCCACTTCACATTTGGCTGCTAACTGCCTCATTGTGCAATCAAGTCCAAAAGAACCAGGTCTTCTGCAAAAATAAAAATAAAATGAATATCACAAACAATCAGACAGCTCTGGTGGAGTGCCCAGTGGGAATGTATTTGACTTGATGCAGGAATATGAACAGGGCTGTCTCTTAGGTTGTACGGAGACCAGTTGGCTCATAGCAACAGGCCCAGTAGCTTCAGTCATAGACTTCCACAGAACACATATGGTCCACAATGTAGCCCCACAGAGTAAAAAGCCACTGATATAGAATCCAAACTCCTTTAATAAAATCCCCAAATTCATAGAGAATATATAAAGAGCATGACATGATTTAAAGTGATCAGCCTTCAAAGCAATCTGAAGTCTAAACTTCATATTTATTTACATCAGACAAAACATATAAGATGCTTTGTTTAAGATATAGTTGCTCCAAAATACTTTTTCTAGGTGGAGCGTGTGGCAGGTTACTAACTTCTAACTTTGCCAGTGAAACTGTCCCAATGGGTTATTTAGTAGCTTATTTTTGGAAAGTGAAGCAAAGCGATGCCAAGCTCGACTTTTACAGAGAGAGATGAGGAATCCATTTTGCCTAGCTGGGCATTTTCCCCAGTTCTCTTTGACTCAGCAGCAGATGCACCCAAAGGATATATTTGGTCTTTTCTAAGTTTTCCTCAGTGCTAAAACTTAGTTCTGTTTTTTTGTCTTCAAGCATACCTGGTCCCATTCTCTTGTCTGGGTGCTTTTCAGAGTCTTGCAGAAAGAACTTTTACTTTTCCTCCAATGGAAAATTTCACTTCCTTTTTCACACTTTACTACGCAACATTCACTATCACTATCGGGCCTCCCACCTGCACGTAAATGTCACTGGAGGTAGCGTAAGTCATCAAAAGGCACTCCAGGAAATCAGTAACTGAAGCAGAAGCAGACAGTACACATTAAGCACGACACGATATGTCAAGGTGAAACTGGCCTTTAATGAATTGTGTCGTACAGTAGAGCTGTGAGGACTTGTCGTACTTTGTCACCTTGAAATGGAAGTTTTGTCTTTTGATCCAACTGTGAGAGCAGACATCTTCTTTTTGATTCCTGTCATGTTGTTG